CTCCTGACTGCAGTGTCAGCCACACTGGCCTTCCGGCTGGGCTGCAGAGGTAAATGGAGTTTGGGGCCATGGACTGATTCTGACATTCAACACATTTTTGCTGTGCTTTTATTTCGGTAGAGAACCGTTCTCCCTGGCAGAGAACAAAACAGATCCACCCACTTCTTCCAGGTGGAGCTTGCTGAGTACAGGGAAAGATGGGCATTGACCAATAACCATACAGATTCCCATGCATTGCATGGACAATGGTTAAAATACAATCAGTCTGGCCCTGGACCATGTGGCTCAGTTGGTCAGAGTGTCGTCCCATAGTCAGAAGGTTGCAGGTTCGATTCCCAGTCAAGGCACATGCCTGGATTGAGGGTTCGATCCCCAGTCTGAGCGTGTTATGATCCTCAGTCTGGATGCGTATGGGAGGCAGCTGATCAATGCTTCTCTCTCCCATCAATGTTTCTCTCCCTCCCTTTCTCCCTTCCTCTCTCTCTGGAAGCAATCAAAAAATGTCCTCTGGTGAGGGTTGTGTGTGTGTGTGTGTGTGTGTGTGTGTGTGTGTATAGTCCATCCAGAAAGTATCTAGTCATGTAAATGAAAAATAGAGACTTTATTGAAGAAGATACAAGATGCAAGAAACATTGTACGTAGGACAATGACACCTCAGTCCCTTTCAAAGTAGGCACTTTGGGACCTCACACAGTTCTCCCAATCACTATCAGCTGCCCCATCGTATTTTCCTGAATCTCATCAGTGGTCTGAAATCTCTTCCCTTTCAAACATGATTTTAGTTTTGGAAAAATCCAGGAGTTGCAGGGCACCACATCTGGGCTGTGTGTGTGTGGGGCGGGGGGGGGCTGAGCCACCTGGGTGATTTGATGTTTCACAAAAAAACTCTAAAGGAGACGAGATGCATGAGTGGGGCATTGTCATGATGAAGCTGCCAATCACCAGTTGCCCATAGCTGCGGCCTTTTGAATCATCCAAATAGTTTCCACGGAGGAATATTCAAGCTTAATGCAAAATTGGATGCAGATGCATTGCTCTCTTTGCTCAGTCATTTGGAATGCGACAGCCACACAGTACACATGCTCCCTCAGTGGCGTCTGCCACCCCCACTGACCAGTGCAGCGAAGTCGTCATTGCCCTGTATGCGCACTCCAGTCCACTCTCCTCGGCTGCCAGGTCACATCGATGTTGCGCAAACCATTCTCGTCATGTTAACAATGGCTGGACTTTTTCTGGACAGGCTCTATATACGTATTTACACACACACACATATATATATATACATTAAAATACAATTAATTTGGACCCTGACTTGAATCCCAGCTCTGCCACTTACCGGGTGGGCCCAGTGCGATCACCAGGGTCCTTAAAAGGGGAAGCCGGGGGCAGGATGTCCAGAGTCATAGGAGGAGTGACCCCGGGAGCAAAGGGCAGAGCGCAGCGAGGACATAAGAGGGGTCAGTCGCTGCCGGCTTCGAAGACAAAGGGCCCCACACCGAGGAATGCTGGGAGTCTTTAGAAGCTCAGACGGGCACGGAAATCCACTTCCCAGTCGACTGTCCAGAAGGAACGCGGCCCCGCTGACAGATTTTAGCCCAGTGGGGCCTGAGTCGGACTTCCGACCCCAGATGGTGAGAGGAGAAACCTGCGTTGTCCGAAGCCACTGGGTTCGTGGAGGTTTGTCCTGGCGGCGGCAGGAGGCTGAGGAGACACCCAGGAGCCCTGTCTCTGACGCCAAACGGCTCTGCCGCTCGCAGCCCTGAGCCCCCGGGCAGGTTGCTGGCGCTGCCCGAGTGGCAGTCGCCTCGCCTGTAACACAGGGACAGCCCTGCCTCGCGGGGTCGACGCGCAGGTGAGAACAGGAAACGGTTGGAAAGTCCGCAGCACAGCACCCGGTACAAAGCGCGTGCTCCCGGCATGGCGAGGACTGTGCTCCTTGGTCCTAAGTGGCTCCCGCCCGTTCTGTAACTGCAACAGGGCCGAGGTGCCCGGCGCTTTTGGGAGGCTCTCTGCTGGCCCTCAATTCACACCTGGCCACTTCTGAACCTGTAGCAGTGTGGCACCTTGTATCAGCTCCTCTGATGTCAGTGCACGCGCTGAAGTGTAAGGCCCGGGGGAGGTCCAGGTCGGCCTTCAAGACACAAGTCAGCCGAGGTCCCTGCAGACGAATAGCGGATGGCTCATCATAGACACTCCTCATGCTTGTCAGAGCCCTGGAGGGTGCCCTGAGGTCTCGCCCTGACCAGCTCCAAATCAGCGGTGTAGCTGTGGGAAGAAGGGGATGCGCCATAACAAGCATCTTGCCAAGTTGGCCAGCCTACCCTTCACCTTTTCTAGGGAGAGTCAGACTGTGGGGAGAGTCAGACCTATAGCCTGAGGGAGCGGTGCTGCTACCACCATCCTCATCATCATGGCACCCTCCCTAACACTTACTGAGGACCTACTAAGCGCCAGGCACTTGTTGGAGCTCATCTTTCTGACTCTTGCAGACGTCCTTTGGCTACCCAGGAGTGCGATTTCTCAAGGCCATGTACCCTGACACTGGCAGCCCAGGGCCCTGACCTCCACAGTCAGGCCCAGAGCCTCTGCTTTTGACCCCCAGCCCGTGAGCACAGGGTTGTCGCCATGTGCTAGGGCCTTGCATGGCGCCACCAGCTCAGGGCAGATTCCAGAGTCCTCCCTGTGAGGACACCCAGGGCTTGTGGCCTGGGACTCTGTTGCCCTCAAAGTAGCCTGCAGAACAGTCCAGAAAATCCCACCAGCATTTCAGAGCCCAGGTCCCTGGAGCAGATGTTTAAGGTGGGGGGCAGACAGGGACGCCCGGGGTTCAGGCAAGCCTTCCGTCCATCATCCCAGGGGGCGTCTGCTGTGCTTCATGACTGCTGCCCCTGGGGCTGAGAGAGGGTGGGGGAAATGAACTGGGGGGTGGGGCCCAGCCCAGAGTATGCCCTTCTGTCTTCCCAGGAGGGAAGGGGGCCGGGGGGGGGGCCTGGCAGCCCCTGGGAGGCCACCGCACCCCGCAGGGCTGGAGCGCCCTCATCTGTCACTAAGGGCCCCGGTCTGCTCAGCGGCACCTGCCAGGTTCTGGCCCTTTGGGCTTAAGGAGAGAAGTTTAAACAGGGGGGAGGTGGGCTGGGGGCTTCTCCTGAGGCTCCGTTTTTATCACAAACTCACTACTTTTACTGAGGTGCATGTCTACTTGGAGAGGTTTGGGGGAGTCGAGGTTCTGGGTCTCTTTGTCACCGCAGGCCACTGCCTGCTGCCTGTGTCACCGCGGCTTCTCGTCCTCCCTTCCTGTCTCAGGTTCAAGACAGAGCCCAGCAGCAAAGTCAAGCACAGCTCGGGCTGCTCTTTCTCTTGCTGAGCAGGCCTTCCACAGAGGATGTGGGTCCTGGGCCCGGCCGCTTGGTGTGGAACTGAGGGCGGCTTCCTCCCTTCTGCAGCCCCCGGGGCCCAGTGGGGAGGAACGGCGGGTGTGGGGGGGGGTCCTTCGCCCTAGAGAGAGAAAGACCCCCCTTGCAGATGAGGTGGTGCTTACTGTTGGCAGAGGGGGCTGCACAGCCTGGGGCAGCTTGGGAGTCTTGGTCTGGAGGAGAGGACACGGTGTCCTCAGCGGTTCTTCCAGGTACAGACAGCGAGGGTGGGGACGGCCTGTGTGTGCGCGCCTGGGGGTTCCCGGCTGCCCCGTAGAGAGAGCCAGGGTGCTCTCCTTGGCCGGTGTGTCCTGGGGGGAGCCGGGCATTCACCACGAAGTCGACCCTTCCCTCCTAATCCACGCGTCCTTTTGTGTGATGTCGGGGAGAGCCAGCCGCCTCCACACTCAGGAACAGCGCCTGTGTCTCCGTGAACACGGCCGCGCTGCAGCGAGGCACAGCCTTTCTCGGTAACTAACACAGGAGACCGCTGAGGAGGGCCCAGGCCCGCAGAGGGGGGTTTTTCCCGGGACCCCTCCCGATACAGCCCCCCCCCACACACACACAGGACTAGAGCGATTTGCTCTCTGGAGAAGACAAGTCTTGCAGACAGACCCCGAGACAGAGCGGGGAGCACGCACATCCTCAGTGACCCCCACCCCCGTGCATGGTGGGTGTTGGCTCCCTGGTTCTAGCAACGCGCCCCATGAGCAGCTTCTGAGGAGGGAGGGGGTCCTGCCACAACAGCGTGGCTCCTGCAGCGTGGCAGCAGGTTGTTCGAATCCCAGCTCCATCGCCTAGCTGTGAGACCCTGACTGGGTTCTGGGTGTCCTCCCTACCCGGGTGGTGAGGGGGCTGGGCTAGGGAGCCTCCAGGGGCCCCATCCACCCTGCTATGCTGACAGTTCAGTGAATGCCCCCAAGAGCCAGAAGACCCCTTGCCGCCAGAGCCCTGTGCTTGCTCCCCACTCGGGGCCTCGCTGTGGAAAATCTCGATGCTGCCTTATCTGTGGCCCCGGGCCCTCCTCCGGTGCCCAGGCTCCGCTGGTCTGCAGAACGGGCCCCGGCCCCTGAGACACGCACGTCAGCACGTCTGCACTTGGCTGCCCGCTGGCAGTGTCCAGGGAGCTGTGAAAGACCTGGGTGCCGCCAGCGCCTCTCCAGGAAACATGGTTTCATCCACCCAGCGTGGGGCCTGGCATCGGTGTTGTTTTTATGAGCTCTCCAGGTTTTTTCTAAGGCACCCGGGACCCACTGACCCAGATGTTGGTTGCCGGTGGCTGGAGGGTGGTAGCCTGGGGTGGGAGCAGAAACAGTCAGCTTGCCCTGTTGTTCTCGCTGGGGTCCGCCGTGTACTCAGGTCACCTGAGCATCAGCCTGTATGAGCAGCTCCAGGGGGGGGCCAGCTGCCTGCATCTCCTCTCCCAGCATCCTGTAGGTGCTCAGAGGGGTTTGAACGGTAGGGTTAGGGCACCCCACTTCTCCTGCATGCCCCCCCCAGTTCCCAAGGTCCCCTGTCCCTACTTCAGGCTTTAACACTCCCCGGGAGGTTGCTCACTGGTGCGGGAAGCAGACGGGGGATGGTGGAGGGAGCGGTCCTGCGCCCTCGCCCCGCAGCTGCCTGGCGGCCCAGTGTTCCTGGGCGGCCGCCAGCCTGACACCGGATCGGACTGACAAGTTCACATGATTCTGCCTCAGCCCGGGGACCAGCGGCCTCCGGCTGGGGTTTTCTAGACGGAGCTGGGAGGCGCGGTCTGCGGGAGATCGCCGGAGGGGGAGCGTGCGTCCCTCCCGCCTGGGGGGTTTGCCAGCCAGGCAAGGTGCTTCTCAGCTCCTCCCTCGGGCCTCCCGGGAGCCACCGGAGGAAGCTGAGCTGTTTGAGGTTTGAGGGCAGAGCTCAGCCCTGAAGCAGAGGCACAGAGGCCCCGGGATTCCCTCTGGGACAACTCCCTTTCACTGCCGCTGTCTGCCTGCTCCTCGCTGGCTGACAGACCATCCCCATCCTGGGTTCCGGAGGCTGAGGAGGTGGGGGTCATCCCAAATAGGACCATGGCCCGTTAGAGGGCCAGGAAGTCAGTTCGGTAGCTCAGGACCTGCCTCCGGAAAAACAAAATAGGATAGCCGTGATCGGAGTGCGTCGCAGACGGTGGGGTAAGTATTGCTCTGGGGAAGTGTGTTCCTGGGCGCTTGCATGTGTGTGTAGAATGTGTGTGCTGGGTCACAGCGTCAGGTGCATTTCTTGCTGTGGTTTGTGGCCAAAAGAGCTTAAAGACAGCGCGTTGGTGCCTCCATGCCTGGATTCTGGATTCAGACCCCCCCCCCACCCTTCCCCGGCTCACCATGTGAACTTGACCAACTGCGTTAGCCTCTCTGGGCTTCAGGCTCTGTGAAACGGGTTGGCAGCGCCAGCCCCACCTGAGTCGCAGTGACTTTGTGAGCCCAGGTGGAATTGAACTTGGAAACAGTTACCAGGCCTTTAGAAATGAAATTCTGTCTCCTCGTCGTTGGTGGAGCGGGGCTCCCTGGGGGAACGACAGGGGCTAAGGAAAAACGCCCCCCCAGCTTCTGCTCCCGCCCCAGGGGGAAGCCTCGGCAGCCGCTGAAACACACACACCCTTTTGGGAAATGGAACAACCTTGGGTAGAGAGTGTGGCGGTCCGACCAGATAAAGGAAGAGAAGCTGGGCTGGCAGGAAACTCCCTGCTCTGCGGGCTCCGGCGAGCAGCGCCGCTCTGGCCCCGTGAGTAATTGTCTGCGTGCCCGTGTGCGCCCGGTGGAAGAGACGGTGACGGATTAGATCACTGTCTGTGTCCCGGCCGCATGCCAGCGCGGGCACCTCCTCCTGGCTGGGAACACGTGAAGGCTCTTACCTTGCGTCAAAGAGGCCCTTCCTTTCAGGGCTTAAGTTCCCTTGGTCACTAAAGTCCTCGGAGACACCTCTGTGCCAATGAGCGTTTGTCTGAAGACTTGCCTCTGGGTGTTGGGCCGTCTCTGTCTGGGGACTGGGTGGCCAAGTGTCTGAAGTGGGTGCAGTGGGTCCTCGTTTGGTTCTTTGCCCTGGGGGAACCACAGCTGGACGCACCTGGTGTCTTCAGTAGGTGCCGAGGAAAGGGTTGGCCGGGCAGAGCACCCCCCAGGTGCAGGGGGCTGGCCTGGGACTAAGCCTGGAGGTGGAGGGTGGCTGCTCAGAACGATCATGACAGACAGACAGACAGACAGAGAGTGCATGGCGTGAGGGCAAGGGTGGGCCGGTCTGAGTTCAGAACCCAGCCAAGCACCCTGTACCAGGGGGGGTCTGGAGCAGGTCAGTCCCTCTCGCTCTGACCCTCGGTTTTGTCTCCTCGTCTGTAAAGGGGCCCAGCGAGAGTGGGGTGGGGAGAGCCGTGTGTGGCCCGTGGGAGGCTCTGGGCGGATGGGGCTCGGCTCTCCCACCCCACCCCCCACCATCTGCATGTTCACAGAACCCTTTCGCCTCGTCCACTGTGTCTTCTGATTTCTGAGGGGCAAGATGCCGGTGGAGACCAGGCAGACAAGGGCCACCCCTGGCAAGGTGCCGTTTCCGCCTGGGGGTGCCTGTCTTCGGGGACCGGTGGCAGGGCGGGCTGGCCGGGACGAGGTCTCGGTGGATGAGCAGGACCCTCTGAGCAGCTCGGGCAGGAGGCTGCGGTGATTCCTCCTTGTTGCTTTCCTGTTTCTATTAATGAGACCTCCTCTGTCCCAGGCCCAACTTCAACCCTCCCCCCGCCCAGCCATCTGATAATCTGCCCACCCATCCATCCGTCTCCCTACCCACTAACCCACCCACCCATCCATCCAGGTACCCGTCACCCATCCAGCTGTTCCCATACCCACCCACTTAGCCCTGCACACACCCCCCACCCCGTCATCCACCTGCCCACCCATTTACTCCCATCTGTCCATCGGCCCCTCATCCGTTTGTCTGCCCACCCATCCACTCACCCATCTCTTCACCCACCCACCCATCCAACATGCCACTTTTGAGAGCTCATCAGGGCTGAGCACTGAGGCCCATCTCAGATTTGTCCCTGGCTGTGCTCTGCCACCCTCCCAGTCAGTGGTTCGTTAGTGACCACAGCTGCCGCTGGTGTCCTGGCGGGCCACGCCCTCCTCACACCTAGCTCCAGTCACGCCAAGGTACTTTCAGTTCCCCGACGGAGCTCCCCCCCCACCCCGCTGTCTCCCCTGGATTTGATCTGTCGCAGGCGTTGCTTCCCCAGGCAGAAGCCGCCCTCTGCCCGCTGCCCGGGCAGCCCTCCCCCTTCTCCTGGCCTGAGCACGACACTCGGCTCGGGACGGGGAGGCTCTTCTGGCCGGGCCGGGTCGCTCCTGCTGCACCCTCTTCAGTGCTGTGCCCTCCCTGGGCGCTGGCTGGCTTTTCTTCTCCCTTCTCCCGTGAGACTGGGAGCAGCTGGAGCTGTACCAGGGCCTGGTCCAGTGCAACGCCGTCCGTGTTAGACAGAATCCATAAGGATGTGTCCTGTGAATGAACAAGTGAATGGGGAGTGGGTGGGTGTGGATGGATACATGGACGGACGGACGGACAGTTGGACCAACGAACAGACTGGTGGATGGTTGGAAAGCCATTGAAGGGTTTGGAGCAGCAGCGATTCGGTTAGATTTGCGTTTCGGAGGACGGCTCTGCGGTGGTGAGATAGAGACACAGGAAACCCAACTGGAGGCCGCGGCACGGATTCTGGGGAGAGGAAGTCTCGAGCGAGCCCATCTGGGCGCTGGCGGGGGAGCTGAAGAGGAGGGGGTGGATGTGGGGGATGTTCAGGAGTAGGAGATGGCAGAGCCGGCCAAGGAAGCGGGCGCTGTGGACGAAGATGGGGGAAGAAGGTGGAGGCCAGCCACCCAACCTGAGCGACCGGGCAGGCGGCAGACCAGTGGAGGAAAGGACAGAGGCGGGACGGGCCTCACGGAGCGTGTCCTGCCTGGCGAGAGGAAGCTGCTCATGTCCACCTTCCCCCTGGGCAGGGCGGTGAGGTCTGGGAGCGCTGAGAGTGTCGAGGGGGTGGAGCCCCCGGAGGAGCCGTCGCCCCATGGAGAGAGAGCGTGTGTGGAGAGGGGAGCACAAGGCAACGGTGAATGTGAGTGGGGGCGACCAGTGAGCCCCGCTGTCCCCCGCCTGGAGCGGCAGTCACTTATGTGCGTGGTGTTCCCATCTCACGAGATCGGGGGCTCCCTGAGGGTGGGAGCCGCTCCTTCCGCACCCAGGTCCCCCGTGTCCGGTCCCCTGCTGTGCACCCTGCAGATGCTCCGCGGATGCACTCTGAAGGGCACCCAGAGGTGCTGGACTGTCGGGCAAACCAGTCCCTCCCTTCGGGCCTCAGTGTCCTCATCCCCGAAACGGGGGAAGTAACGAGGTTGTTGTGAAGGCCGGGCAGGAGCATAGACATGAAACACCTGGGAACCGTGAGGGATTTCTCAGACACGGAGTGGAAGTCCAGTCACCGTGCTCTGAAACACGGTGCCCGTCCCTCCCTCCGTCTGGAAAGCCCGAATCGGGCTGTTGGTCTCCCAGAAGCTGCGTCTGGTTCTGACCACAAGATTCTGTTGGGTGTTAAGTTCCCCTTGTAGCCAGCCACCTGTGCTCCCCAGCCTGGGACTCGGGTAGGGCACTTGGCCAGGAGCAAAGCCCAGACCTTCTAGACCTTTCGAGTCCCTTGCTAGTCCAGAGGTGGCTCACGGGCCAGCGGCACCATCGTCAGCGGGGAGCTTGCGGCAAATTCTGCAGCCCCGCCTCAGACCCACTGAGTCAGAAACTCCGGAGGTGGGGCCCCGTAATCGGCTGTAACCAATCCTCCGGGTGACTCAGCTGCACCGAGGCCAAGGAGCACTGTCTAGAATGTCAAAACCCTCTTTCTGCTGGAAAGTGAGCGCAGGAGGTACTTCAAGCACCGTAAATGCTGCTGCTTTGCCCTGCGGGCCTGGCTGTTGGTGACTTTGGTCGCCAGACTTCACTTATAGTTGGCCCAGGAGAGCGAAGCCACGGGCCTGTGCCCCACCGCAGGGGGACATGCTCCCACCAGTAAATAGCTGCTCCAGGGCCGGGGACTCCCAAGGGATGCTTAGGACCTGATGGGACGTGTTTCACGGTGACCCCATTTGCCCTGTTTGATTGACACGTGAGGGCCTGTGCTTACGAGTGAATGTCATCTTCCTGCCGGCGGCTTGTATCTGGACTGTGGAGACCCTGAGGTCCGGCTCGGTGGCCCTGGGGACGGTTCGGGGCACTGGGCTGCTGTCGACTTCCTCGTAGGTAAGCCAGGTGAACCGTTTCACCCCACAGGTGTGGGTGTGGGATTCACGGACAAGAACCGGCCAGAGGGGGGCAGGTAGGGCCAGCTCCTGACTGACGGGGCTGTGGGAGGAGCCAAGGGGTCCCAGGTCTCAGCTGCCCCTTGTCCCCTTCCTCTCCCTGCCAAAACATGGCAGCAACACAAAAGCACACACACACAAAAAAAACACAAGAAAACCCCGTGCATGGTGGGTGGGAATGTAAAATGGTGCAGCCCCGATGGAAAACAGAAGGACAGTTCCTCAAAAAATTAAAAACAGAACTACCCTATGACCCAGCAATTCCATGTCTGGGCACCTACACCCGACCCCGCAAAGAGACTCTGAGAGCAGGCACCCCAGCAGGGGACCCGTGTACCCAGGCTCACGGCGGCGCCCTTCGCAGTGGCTGAGAGGCAGGTACCACCCAAGTGTTCACCGACACGCGAAAGAACAAATGCAGAACATACATGCGGGGAAGTGGCGCTCAGCCTCACGTGGGGGGAAATTCTGACGCACGTTACAGCACGGATGAGCCTTGAGGACGCCGTGCTGCGTCACATAAGCCCGTCACAAGAAAGGACAAACGCTGTGGGAGCCCACTCGTCTGAGGGACCCAGAGGGGTCAGGTCCCTAGAGACAGGAGGCAGGGTGGGGGGCCGGGGGCTGGGGGGCGGGCGGGAGTGGGCGTCCGAGTGGAGCGGGGCAGCGTCTCTCGGGTGCGGAAGGTGAGGGGCTCTGGGGATGGGCAGTGGGTGGTCACGGTTGTTCTTCAGGGCGAGTGTCCTCAAGGCCAGAGAACCGGACGCTTAAACACGGTCAATGTGGTACATTTTATGTCGTGTGCATTTCACCACAATTAAAAAGGACAATGAGAGGCAGCCCCTCCGCCACCATCGCTGAAACCCCAGGCCTGTGTCCTGGAGAGGACCGGGGGTGGGCTTGACGGGGGGTCCTCGTTTTATGGGGGGCTGAGGGGTGGGGGTGAGTCTCAGGTGGGGACTGGAGGTGGCAGGGAGGCGGGACATGGAGCACGGAGACCTGGATTCTGACACCAGCGCCTCCTTCCTCGGGCTGGCTTCGGCAGGTCACCGCCCCCACCGCCCCCGGGGGCCTCAGTTTCCTCACCTGTAAGATGGGGAGGTGGCATTCACTCGTGCGTCCAGGGGGACTCATGAGTGCGTGTGGAACGCCAGGCACCGTGCCAGGGGCATGAGGCCTCTGCCCTGGGGGGATTTACATTCTTGTGGAGGAGACGGGTCGTCCACAAGCAGGCAGGGAAACACAAACCTCAGATACTGATGGGCGCTCTGTGGAGCAACCCAGGAGGGTGGTGGGACGGTGGCCAGGGCAGGCCTCGCAAGGGGAGGAGGTGACGTTGAAGCTGAGATCTGGCAGCAAAGGAGCCAGCCCCGAGGGGAGGTACAGGGTACAGGTGGGGCAGGGGGGGGGGGGCAGGCAGCAGCGGGGACACAGGCCAGCAGCGGGGCTGGGTGACCGGGCAGCACAGGAAGCAGGCCACGTGGCTGGCGTGTGGCAGCGGGGTGGGGGGCAAGTCCCATCCTGTAGGGCCTTGCCCGCCCCGTGAGGAACGTGGGTTCTGCCACAGGTGTGGTAAGAAGCCGTCTCAGCGGGTTGTGAGCACGGACGAGGAGGGTCTGCTCTGCATCCTGGGCGTTGCGTGGGTGAGGGTCGGGGCCTGCGTGGGGCGCTGGGGCAGGGGCGGGCTTGGGTGTGGGGAGGGCTGCAGGTGAGAAGGGGCAGCTCTGGACCAGACCCGTCTGCTGCCCATTTTAGAGACACGGTGGAAGCTGTGGGTTCCTCTCCCAGGGAAAAGAACGCACCTGCTTACGTAAGATCGAGAGTTTGTTTCCAGGGCACCACTTCCCGCTTGGCCCTGGCTCGGGGGCCACAGGGCGGGGCAGGGGCCGAGACAGAGCCTGCAGGAGCGTGGCCGTGGGGGGAGGGGCCCCGGCCAGCAGGTGGTGAGACGTGGGCCCTGAGCTCTGAGGGGCTTCGCTTCTGGTGGGAGAGAAGCAGGTTCCCTGTGGCGAGGGGAGGGCACAGGGCGGGGCCGATCTGCTGCCCCCGCCCAGCTGCCACTCAGACCCCACCCGTTCCGCGTCGGCAGCTGTGCTGTAGGCCACGCAGTCTCAGGGCGGGGGGTGGAAGTGGGTTCTTGGACGGAGTGAAGAACCTTCAATATTATAACGATTTGCCATCCCCCCAAAGGGCATGGTACAGGGACAGGCACGCAGTGTATACCTGAGGTGTTAAAATTTCATGGAGAGGGGTTGGGGTGGCGGGGGGAATGTCTAAACAGGCTCCTTGAGGGGATAACTGTGGGGGTTGAAAAAGCTGAAAAAGCTTGAAAAAGCTTGAAAAAGCTGAAAGCAATCTTGATTTAGACCCAGCCAGATTTTTCACCTGAACAGGAAGTGTTAAAGCAGCAGAGAAGCTCAAGCCTTTGACTCCAACATACTAACTTATAAAGGAGGCTCCCAACCCAAAATCGTGTTCTGTCTGGGTCAAAGGTGTTTGTGTGGACAGCGCCTCTTTGCTAAGTTCTCGACAGTGTGGCCTTCCGCTAACGCGAGTGGGAGAGACGACGGCCTCTCACTCCACCTCTTTGCCGCTGGAAAGCGGTGCCGTGCGTCTGACACCCGCCCTCTTCTGTGGCCCCGGTGCTGGCCCCGAGGGCGGCTGGGTTTGTCCCCGGCGTACACAGGAGGAGGCTGAGGCTCAGAAAGGGCAACTGGCTGGCACAGCCTGTAAGCGGCTGACCGTGGCCTGGTGCTCCTGGCCACCGCTGCCTGGCCCTGCGTCGTCCCCCTCCGCTGGGTCCCCGAGCTCCGTGGAAGAGAGGAGGGCTGGCCCCTGCTGAGAGACACCCAGGGATCCGGGCAGTGCCCGAGGGAAGCTGGCCCTTGTTTCCGGCCGGAGACTGTGGGATGTGGGCAAGGCTGGGCCCCTTCCGCGCCGGGTGGAGAGGCCCCAGGAGGGGCTGTGACCTCGGTGTGACCTGGTACGTTCCCGTGAACAAGGGGGGACTGCGCATGGTGCTCGCTGCTGTGGAAGACAGTGGCTGGGCCCTCCCCATCACACCTGCAGCAGGTTGGAGCTGATCTTCACCTTCAGCTTTCCTCAGAGAGCTGGGCTCAGAGGGGCTGTGCTTGCAGGGCTGGGAACATAAACGAAGGGCAGGAAGCCAGAGAAGGCGGATGGGGAGACCTAAGCCACATTCTGAGGTCGGGTTAGAGCTGGTTGGCTGGGCCACCCTCTGAATTCAGTGAGGCCCTCAGAACAGCGCCCGGCACACAGTGGGTGCTTTATACATGTTAGCTCCTGGTATTCTAAGCCTTTCCCACCTTTGGCTTTCAGAGGCTCACTCACCACCAAGGGGGCCCAGCCTCTGACCCAGCTTGAACCACATCCTGTGAACAGCATGGCGGCAGAGAGACGGGCCCACCCCCTGCGCCCATGACGGGGGAGCCCCTTCTGGCCCAAAGATGGGGAACATCACCACGAACAGCTCCTCCATGAACTGCACCATCGACCACACCATCCACCAGACGCTGGCCCCGGTGGTCTACGTCACGGTGCTGGTGGTGGGCTTCCCGGCCAACTGCCTGTCTCTCTACTTCGGCTACCTGCAGATCAAGGCCCGCAACGAGCTGGGCGTGTACCTCTGCAACCTGACGGTGGCCGACCTCCTCTACATCTGCTCGCTGCCCTTCTGGCTGCAGTACGTGCTGCAGCACGACAACTGGCTGTACGGCGACCTGTCCTGCCAGGTGTGCGGCATCCTCCTCTACGAGAACATCTACATCAGCGTGGGCTTCCTCTGCTGCATCTCCATCGACCGCTACCTGGCCGTGGCCCACCCCTTCCGCTTCCACCAGTTCCGCACCCTGAAGGCGGCCGTCGGCGTCAGCGTGGTCATCTGGGCCAAGGAGCTGCTGGCCAGCGTCTACTTCCTGCTGCACAAGGAGGTGGTGGAGGACGGGAACCAGCACCGCGTCTGCTTCGAGCACTACCCGCTGCAGCCATGGCAACGCGGCATCAACTACTACCGCTTCCTGGTGGGCTTCCTCTTCCCGCTCTGCCTGCTGCTGGCCGCCTACCGGGGCATCCTGCGGGCCGTGCACCGCAGCCACGGCACGCAGAAGAGCCGCAAGGACCAGATCCAGCGGCTGGTGCTCAGCACCATGGTCATCTTCCTGGCCTGCTTCCTGCCCTACCACGTGCTGCTGCTCGTGCGCAGCCTCTGGGAGTCCAGCTGCCAGTTCGCCAGGGGCGTCTTCAACGCCTACCACTTCTCCCTGCTCCTCACCAGCTTCAACTGCGTGGCCGACCCGGTGCTGTACTGCTTCGTCAGCGAGACCACCCACCGGGACCTGGCTCGCCTCCGTGCGGCCTGCTGGGCCTTCCTCACCTGCTCCAGGACCGGCGGGCCCAGGGAGGCCTACCCTCTGGGTGCCCCCGAGGCCTCCACGGGGAAGAACGAGGAGCCCGAGTTGTTACGGAAGCTCCACTCCACCTTCCAGACTCCCACCTCACCTGGAGGGGCGGGGTCACCCACAGCCAGGCTGGCCTAGCCAGAGTCCTCCGTGTGTGGGGTGCGTGAGGCCTGAGCTTGCTGGCCGGCCGCCCCCCCACTTTCTGCTGGAGGGAACGATGGGGTGAGGTCACCGAACCCTGGACCTGGGCTGCAGCAAGGCCTCTCTGGCGCCAGGGGGCCTGCTGGAGCTCGCTGAGCCAGCCGGGGTGCGCCCCGTCAGCTCAGGGGTGTCTTCCGTTGCAGCTGGGCCGCTGGCAGGAGGCAGGCAGTGAACTGTCAGCTCCGGAAGGTTTGCAAAGGGAAGCTGGGGTGGGGGTGCAGAGTTCGAGGGACGCTGGGACATGGGGGTGGGTACCTGGGCGTGCACCTGCCAGGGCCTTCCAGTGCCACTGCTGTCACAGATGACACCTGCCCGAACACACGAGTGGTGCATCCGAGGAGGTGACACAAAGCTGTGTGGTCATGGTCAACCATGGACCCCCCCACAGAAGGGGGCAGAAGGGAGAGGTGTGGGGCCAGGAGGCTGGGCAGGAGGAGGAGTGGGAGGGGGCATCTGGGGCACTGGCAGTGTGCATGGGGGGCCGGGGGTAGTGTTGGGCGGAGGAGAGACCCCGTACACAACTTCGCAGGGAGAGCCGAGCAGCCTCCCCAAGCTCCGGGGCGGGTGGAAAGCCAGTCTCAGGGCTCCCAGGGCTCCCGGGGGCGATGCCTGTGGCCCTTTAAAAAGTCGGCTCAGAAGCACAGATGTTGGGACAGGGGCCCCAAGACATGTGTTCGGGTGAGCACCCCTCACAGACTCCTGACGGGGTCTGTCTCTGCCCTCCAGACCCTGGAGCCTGGGAGTGTGTGTGTGTGTCCCTGTGTTCCAAGTGCCAGGGTCTCCGTGACAGCTGCGTGCCGAGACACTGAGGCCAGGGTCGTGGGACTACTGGCAGTGTCCCCCAACCCCACCAGCCTCTGCCTCCACCCCCTGCCACACCCACAGAGGGGCACAACATTCTCCCCAAGTTCTCAGACGCAACGAAACACATAAAATAGAGATGCGTTCTCTGGCACCTCTCAGCCCAAGCTCCCCTGCAGCTTAAACAGCCGCTGTACAGAGGAGGGGCCCTGGGCTCACCTTGCCCCCTGGTTCTCCCACACGGCCCCTCTGCCAGACATCCTACCGCACCCACCTGGAGAGGGGTGGTGGCCCGTGGGCTGCATGGAGCCTGGGGCACTGACCGCGGTCTTCTGTCCTGGCCCGGAAGGCTGGGCACCGGGTCAGCTCTCCTGCAGCTTGGTGCTGACCATGGTGAGCCCCTGCCCTGGGGATCGTACCAAGGACCAGAAGAGCTTATAGCTGCCCCAGGGACCTGCCCACCTTCACAGACATGCCAGCCCTCCAGACGTCCTGGCTGACACACTGGGGCCAGTGCCCACCTCCCTGGAGTCTGACTCCCTCACAGAGCCTGGGGCGGGACCCGGGATGGGGAGATAGATAGAAGCTGGCATCGGCAGAATGATTCTGGAATCTGCTAAGGGGAGGGCCAGGAGCACATCTTCCGTCTTTCTTCCCCTCCCTGTGCCCTGCCCGTCAGAGAGCCCAGAGAACACCGCCTAAAGGCGGAGAGCCCAGGCTGGGCCGCCCCGAAGTGGGGTGCCAGGGCTACACGTGGCTTTGACTGGGCAGCACCCGCCCCAGCCCCTTATGGTGGGTCTCCCATGACCCGAGGAGGCTCTCTCCCCTTCCCCGAAGGAGAAAGAGGCCAGGTCCGAAGGTGGCTGAAATGGCCACACAACCAAGAACCCCCCTCCCCGCCCAGCCCGCCCAGCACCCCCAGCCCAGGCTCTTCCTGGGGCAGCAGCACTGGTCAAGTGCTCCACGCCCCCTCCCTCCAGACATCCCCCTGGTCTGACCATCAACACCGGCGACCCCACCGGGCCGGACTGCAGGAGCTGAGGGCGGCTCCGCTGACTATCAAGAGTTGTATTTTCGTATTGTCCTTTTATGCCGAGTGTGCGTGTGTGTCGGACTGCGTGATGGATTTGTGTAGCAAACTCGAGCCTGCAAATAAAGTTCCCAGCTGCAGCCGGAGCGTGCTGTGCCGTCCTTCTGGGGAAGGAGGGTCTTCTAACACGGGGGGGGGGGGGGCAGATCTAGAGGGTCCCCGAAACACCCAACAAGGTCGGGAAGGTTGAGGGGTTGACTTTCTCACGGAAGACTCGCACAGAGCAGTTAGGGGGTCTGCCCGTGATCGCCCAGCAGTGTCCAAGGCGGATGGACAACCCCCCACCCAGCGAAGGGGGTCTTCTCCTCTTCCTCCTGCGCTTCGCAGAGTGCCCCGGCTCTTCCTCAGCCCTTACTGCAACTCCACTCTGGGTCGCCTCTCGGACACCTCCCCTTTGGGGACAGAGCCCAGCGCTGTGGTTTGGAGAACATCTCTCCTTCTGTCCTCAGACGTGTGACCCCTTCTGTGACCCCGGGAACTGCTGTTGTGGATGGAGAGGGAGGGCTCCATCAGACTGTCCCTCCCTCCCCAGGGAAGGTCATCGAGGAAGGCAGAAGGGCCTGCAGGGGTCGCCCCACCCCCACCCCAGGGCGGTCCTCACTGCGTGGCTTCGGTCTGGGGGCGGGTGGGGGCGCCCACATCTGCCGACCAGGCTGGAGCGTCTTCTCAGCAGCGGCCGGCTCCGTGTTTATGACCGTGGATTAGCTGCGTCTTATCGAAATGTACATTTGGTTTTAGTCACTTAATGCCTCTCTGGGTCAGATTCCAGAGTCCTGAAGTGTTTGGGAGGAGTCAGTCCTTCTTCCAAACAGACCGAGGATGTGGCTGGAGCTGAAGACTCTTCTCTCGTGCGAGAACAGGGGGAGGACAGGGTCCATCTGGTTTGGGCGGACGGCGGCAGACTGCTGTCCAGCGCCCCAGTGTTGCTGAGCCACATGAGGCTCACCTTCCTGTTTATACACAGCGGTCTGGGGGTGGGCCAGACGAGGGGGGGGGAGTTTTCAGCGCAGAGTGAGCCCCCGCCGGCTGCACAGAGTGTGGCCACGGGAGGGCCAGGATCCGGTCCTCTGGGGTCAGTGCTTTTCAGAAGAAAACTGCTTTTTGCATCTGGGGATCACTCAGCCTCCAGGAATTCATCTGGCAGGACAGCCGTCCTTGATGACAATGTCCCCGGGGTCACAGCGGTGCCCTGTGCTCTGGGGACACCATGGGATTTCAAGTCCATTTTCTTGAATTCAACACCTGTCAGAAGGGCGCTCTGAGGTCAGGCTCTGGGTGTCAGTGCTGGTGTGCTCTGTGAAAGTCACGGCAGCCAGGAGTTACTCCCTGTATGTCCCCATAATCATGGTCCGGTTGTGCAACAACTGGCCCCAAGGGCACTGCTGCCCCGCACCCGAGGCTGGGAAGAAAACCTGAACTCCCAAGGAGCCCACGTGGGACCGCTTTTCCCACTTGGAGCCGCCTCCACCTGACAGGTGTTAAACGCTCAGCGTCCCCCACCTCCTCTGAGCAGAACCCGCCTCTCCCAGTGTGACGCTTGGGTCTGAAGCGAGACTAAGTTTGCCGGACCTGGGTCGGAAGGGGACCGTCTGCCCACCTCACGGCTCGTGCGTGGGCTCCTCTGGCCAGCACATCCCCTCGCCAACGCAGACCGAGTTCACGCGAATGGCGTTTAGGCCACGTCCTCTCTGTCCTGCCTAGGGCGGTGGTCTTTTGAATCTCAGAGTTTGACCTCCCTGTGGAGCCCGGGGGACCCACACGGCATGGGCGGGAAGTAGCAGAATGCTGCGGGCTGGAGTAGGAGGGGCCGGCGGTCGGCAGGGCCTGTGCGGTGAGAGGCAGGGAATGACCCCGGGGGGCACACCCGGCCGGCTGAGTCGGGGGGCGGCCCGTGGCCGGAGGACACCAGGGGAACAAGGAGCCCCGGCCCCCGTAGCTGGTTTGCTTGCCTTCGAGTCTCACAGGCTCTGCGGGGCGCATGCACCTCGATGTGCCCAAGGTCACCGGCCTGCCCTTGAGCACCCAAATAGCATCCCAGGCTCTGTGTCCCAGGGCCCACCCCCCAACATCCCTGGAAATGCCCAGGATGCTCATGTGCCCCTGAGTCCGTCCTGGCAGAGGCTCCACCCCATCTCCAGTCCCGCCGTGCAAGGACAGGGTCACCTCTTGCCCCCCTGGAACCAGCCTCTCCAGGCTGCTGCCACGCCACTCCACATGTGGACTCCACAGCCCCTTCCCGGAGCATAGCCAAGACCAGGGCAGACCTGAGCAAGACTTGACTGAAGGCTTGAGCAGGGATCTTTTTATGGAAAAATGCTGAAACTGGACCCTAGACTCAGAGTCTACAGCATGTGCTCCGTACTCGGGTGGTCCCCGGGCTGGACGCTGCCCAGGCGTCTCCTCCTGGCCTTCCCTGGCCCCTCGGCCTCCGCTGCAGGGCCACGGGCCTGCCCCCTCCTGCAGAGGGCCCTTAGACTCTCTGCAGAGAGGCTCTCTGCAGCGGGGACCCGCACTCTCGGGCTTCTCCGGGCTCCACCCCGGTGTCAGCCTTTTCTCCCTCCCGAACAACTTCATCATCTCCGCAGGAAGATAGCCTGTTTCGTGGGCGCGCCTAGACTTCCCCACGCTGGAACAGAATCCTGCTGTTCCTGTTGCAAAACCAAAGGCACCTTAGTGTCTTTCCTCGGAATATGAGTCAGATGGGCTAGCGCTGGGAGCCTCACCAGAGTGATGTGTTCTCTCCTCTAGCTGTCAAGAAGTCAGAAATGCTGGGACACTCTCAATCAGAGGCCCGCGCTGCGCGGAGCTCGGCAGCCTCAACCCAGGGACGAGACGTGTAACTGGAGGAGCCCTGGGCAGGGAAGCGGAGGGCAGAGGCGGTTCAGGGAGCTGTGACATGCTGCAGAGAGAGGGGCTGTGAGCTCACGGCGATGGCCGCACCGGCCCGAGGCCCCGGCAGTGAGAGCACAGACTGCGCAGGTGGGGACTCACCGCCACCGGCGTGACAGAGGGCGGCCTGGACATTGCCCACCCCAGCCACGTCTGCCGGGGCTTCCCCACACCCTGTGCAGGGCATGTGGGGAGTTAACCCAGGTGCATCCACTCTGCTCTTTGCTGCTGACTCTATCTACAGCATGTGCTCCGTACCTTACAACACGTGCCCCTTTAAGAATCGAACGAGACACGTTTAAGAGAATAAAACAAAGCAGGCTCCAGAAAGCACGTGGGGCCCCAGCTGGGAAGCAGGGCCAGCCCCTGGGCGAGCCAGCACGAGGGACCAGCGGACTGGCCCGGTGCGTGCGTGGGATGGGATGCGGTCGGTGGCTCCACTTCTGACGCCATCAGGAAGCGTGCGGTGGGGGGCTGGGAAGGAGGTAAGGACAGGCCGGCCAGAGCTGCCCAGGGGCCCCTGTGAGCGATGGAAGTCCCAATCAGCCCTGATTCAGCCCCTGGCTCCTGGGGTGGGGCTGCCCCCCTCTGCACGCCCCAGGCTGGGGGCAGCAGATGAGGGGGAGCGGAAGAAGTGCCAGCTCCAAGGTGGGGGTTCAGGGGGGGGGAAAGGGGGGGAGCGGGGAGGCCGAGGTGATAAATGTGAGGATGAGGGATCTTCGGCCTCAGTAAACAAAACGCTGTTGGAAAAAGAGCATTTCACACGTATAAATATTTTGCTGTTTATGGTGCTGAGAAAACCTTTAGTGAAGCCCCAGAGTTTCGTGAACATACACCACACGTGTGTGCACTTTACTATTTCAATGTCAGCCTGGGGGCTGTTCCCGGCCCGGCGATGCCCACGCCGCGGTCCCTGTGGGGGGTGAGTCGGAAGACTCTCGGAGCACACCACGAGGGTGGCCTGGAGAAGCCGGGGTGCAGGAGGGTTGAAGCCAATGCCTCCGGCACCTTCCAACAACATCGGGAACTGGGGACCCCAGAGGGACGGCTCCTTGGCCCACCCGCACTGCCCCCCCCCAGGGAGCGGGACAGCCCAGCCCCCCCAGGGCCGGCAGCCGCAGGAAGAAGCTGGGTCCGCAGGGACTCCTTCCCTGACCCCGACGTGGTCACCCGCACGCCGTGGTGACGTCCAGCAGCTTCTGGATCATCTGGGCGTGGGTGCCGTGGAAGGGCAGCCCGTCCACCTCCATGCCCACGTTGCCCGTGACGCCGCTGCGGACTTTGTGCCGCACCAGGATGCCCATCATTTTTTCTTCCTGGAACCAGAGGAGGCAGAGGTAGGAGGCGTGAAGGGGGAGGGAGGAGAAAACCGTGCGTACACGTAAGTGGAGGAAGAGCATCGGACTGGACACGGCCTCTTTCTGAACAATCAGGTGTGGGTTAAAAATGTCACAGCCGCTGGAAGACTCATCATGAACAACAATGGGGTCCTGCATCATCGGGCTTCACGGGCCCCAAACCCGCCCTCCTGAAGGGGCCGCTCTGAACCGTCTGGGCTATTTCCTCGACCAGGTACCTTCACATAACCAGATAATTAGCTTTTGTGAAAACCTCCATCTTCTTAACAAACGCTAAAGAGTCCTCCTCCTGCAGGTGCAACGTAGACTACTTCCTGCCCACCTGGCCCTGGCTAGCTCCCGGGTCCCTGCCCCCGGCCTCTGTGCCAGGAAGGCCCCCATTCCTCCTGAGAGCCCACTGTTAGCCACCGGTGGGGCACGGGTCAAGTCCTGTTGCTGTCCCCTTCTAGAAGCTTCTGGAGCAAGCAGGGCCATTGAAAAACTGCAGGCCCCTCCCGACGCTGCAGCCCAGGGCCCAGCAGGCGGAGTGGTTTGGGATCAGACAGACTTGACTCTGGTTTTTTCTGGTGGGTGTTTGAACCTCTCTGTGCCTCAGTGTCCCCATCTGTATGATGGGGAGGTAGATGATAACAATGATGCCACCTCTAGAGGGCTGTTGTGAGGATTAAATGAGATGATACAAGCAAAGCACCTAGCATGGTCCTCAGCACACAGTGGGTGCTCACCAAATGAGGTGGATCATTACTGGCAGGGTGGGGTCCCTGGCCTGCAGCCCAGAGCCTTCCTGAGCGATATGATTCCCCTCCTTCTCTTTCCCTCCCCTCGTCTGAGCCGCTGATGTGTCTGTCCCAGCTGAATCGCTCCAGTCCCCCTGGGGAAGGTGGGTCTTACATAGAGAAACAGAGAGAGGACAGTGCCCGTGGGGAAGAAGTCGAAGTCATCCTCCCCCACTTCCTCCCCCACCAAAGTAAGGAGGGGGTGAGAGCAGGGGACCACGGCACTGAGAGCAGGAAGGTGTGGCAGCTCTGAGAAGGCCTCCCACCTTCCTGCTCAGGTGTCGCTGATTCGTTCAGTCCTCTGTCCAAGTCTTATGGAGAACCTGCTGCGTGCCAGGCCCTGAACCAGCGACACAGCAGTGACGGAGGCGGGGTCTCAGGCCTGGCGGGGGGTGGGGGGGTGTCCCAGCCCGGATGAGCGCCCAGGCAGGCACAGTCCGCCAGGGGCCCGCAGCACAGGGCAGGGCAGGGCACCCACCCCTTCCCCGGACCGACTCACGGAACACCATTCAGGAGGAGGGGCAGCTGGGACCAGAGCTGACAAAGGAGCAGCAGTGAGCCAAACCAGGGGTGATGAGAAGCACTCATCGCTGAAAACTTTTAGAAAACAATGGAGAAAGCGTTGGCAAACGTCACGGAGAAGGGCCTCCGTGCCCAGCTGGCGGAGAACCCGCGTTTCCGCTCTGCCCTGGGAGCCGAGGTGGAAGGGAGGCCCGGAGCGCTTCCAGAGAGCTGTTTGTCCAACAGCCCCCCCCAGGGGCCACCCAGCCCAGAATGGCATTTCCCGCCCTTTGTCTGGGCTTTTTCCCACTTCTCTTCTCCGCTGGCTCGCGTCCTCCCTTTAGCGGGGACTGCTTCTGGAGCCCTTGGGCCATTTCCTGCCAGCTCGCGGCCTGCCCCCAGCATCTGCATCCTTCGGGTCCCAGGGAGGGCCTAGTGGTCCTCAGGGTGCACTCACCAATCCCCAGGAACCGACTGGCACTTGGCCTCTGAGAGCCCCAGGGGTCAGCTGGGTCAACAGTGACTGCCTGGGAATTTCCCAGGAATCACCACCTTCCAGGAGTAGGGTGGTGGGAGGGGAGGGGCCGGAGGCAGAGCGTGGGGCTCGGGCAGGGGAGCAGAAGAGGAGGGGCGGTGGACAGAGAGAGGCAGAGGGGACAGGGCTGGGGGCCGTGTTCACTGTGGGTGGGAAAGGGGTCCCAGGGGACTTCCGGCCGAATGTGCGGCTGGTCACACTGTGGATGCCCGGGAGCACACCGGGAGCACAGTGGGCTGATAGTCACGACTAGGTGATGTTGCTGCTCACAGCGCGGGGGGCAGGGGCGCATGGCCCCTGTGGCTCAGTTGGTCTGAGCATCGTCCCATAGACCTAAAGGTCACGGGTTCGATTCCCGGTCAGGCACATATCCAGGTTGCAGATTCGATCCCCGGTCGGGGCCCATACAAGAAGGCAACTGATCAATGTTTCTCTCTCTCTCTCCAAAAGCAATGAAGAACTTTTATCCTCAGGTGAGGGTAAAAACGAAACAAAACACAGTAGGGTGGGAGCAAGGGGCCCCCAGGAGAGTGGGAGCTGTTCTGTGTGTGATCTTGGTGATGGTGACACCGTCCAGTGACAGACTCTGTGGTTTAGGTCAGTTGTGCCTCGTAAAAAAGTTACTTAAACAGTGGAGTGAGAGGGAAGTGTGGGGGAGGATGGGAGCCCAGGGTGGGGGTCGGTCAGAGGCCATGTCCCCGTCCCTCTGTGTCATCCATCCATCTGTCATCCACTCCCCCCTCGGTCCATCCGTTCCACCGGCCAGCCAGCAGGCCCTCCTCCCTCCCTCCCTTCCTCCCATCCATCTGTCCTTAGTCCCTCCTGTAAATTCTTACCAACTGGCTCCTGGTCCCTGCGAAGATCTGGGGGATGCTCCCCAGCTGTTTGTTCTGCCCTCCAGTACAGCCCAGGGCACAGCCGGCAGCCAGAGGGGGCAGGGTGTGGCTCCCTGGGCTGCTCAGCGTGGGGCCCCCTCCTGTTACAGCTGTGATCAGACTGCCCCCCAATATGGAAGGCCCAACTCACAGAGCAGAGCTGAGGGACATTCCTCTGCTCCTAACCAATCAGGCCTCACCACCATCTCAGGCCACAGCTCTGCCCAGCGTCTCCCATGACCCAGGGACCCCCAGGGAGTGACCCACTGAACCCCAGTATGACCATTCCAGTCGTTCACCTGAACACTGCACCACCTCATGTCCCTGCACCTTCCTGCTGCCCGGAAGGCCCTCCCTTCCCTTCTCACCTGACTACTAATATCCTGCTCATCCTCTAAGCCCCAGTTGAGTGCCACCTCCTCCAGGCAGCCTTCCTTGAGCTCTCTGAGTGACCGTTCCTTGTGTTCCCTCAGAATCTTACTGTGCCGTTTCCATCCTGGCTCCTGAAACTACCTTTGGTGTGTCGTTTCCCCTGCGAATCCGGAGTTCCCTGCCCAGGGGCCGGGTCTGACCCCTCGCTGTCTCCTGGGCAAGCCCAGGCCTGACCCAGAGGAGGGGCTCAACACACACATGTTTGTACTGTTGCTTTAAAAATGTTCCTTTTGCCCTGGCTGGTGTGGTTCAGTGGATTGAGCACCGGCCTGCGAACCAAAGCGTTGCTGGTTCGACTCCCAGTCAGGGCACATGCCTGGGTTGCAGGCGAGGTCCCTAGTCGGAAGCGTGCGAGAGGCAACCACACATTGCTGTTTCTCTCCCTCTCTTTCTCCTTCCCTTCCCCTCTCTCTAAAAACAAATAAATACATTCAATTAAAAAAAAGTTCCTATTCAATTTTCTGTACAAGGGTGGGGCATCATTCACACATTTATGAAGAACTGGGTGGGACCTCAAAAGGAAAATTTTCCATCCCCGGGGTTAAGTGTTGGAGCCGTGTGAATGTGTTGGCTGGGTTCGTGCTTTTATGTCGGCGTGAATCAGAAATCATGTGTGAGGCAGCACCCTGAGTGGGCTTTTTTTTTTTCCATTTCAGATCCAAGAAGTGCAAAGAAAGCAGAGGCCCCCTGGGTCCCTCTAGGTCAGACCATTTCCCCAGAAACCATCACTGCGACTGTGGAGCCCCGCGTCTCCCTCCCACCCCGCCTGGCAGGCCGGCATTACCAGGAACGGACGCCTCTACCAGGAACCGGGAGCCTTCTGGGCCGTGTCGGGAAGAGCCCGGAGAGTGTACGCAGCTAGAGACGCCCAGGCTCAGGCCTCAGTTCTTCCTCTCAGCTGGATGGTGCCGGGCAAGCCACCTTACCCCCAACCCCCCGTCGGGGCCTGAGCCCCCTCATTTGTAAAACAGTCATGGCCAATCCAGGCAGGTGTTGGACAGAAACGGGGCTGGGGGTTTAGGGAGGAGGGACAAGCGGAGGGAGAGACAGGTGGAAGGAAAAAGGGGTCAGAAAGGGTACAAGACAATGGGGGGGGCAGAAAAGAGGAAGTGCCAGCTCCAGGAGCCCTCCCCCACCTCCCCTTCTCAGCTGCTGCTTCCAGGTTCAGTGCTCAGGAACCGCCCCTTAGGTCGTCTTCCCCAGCCCAGCCCTCTTCTGTCCTGGAGTCTCAACTGTGGTCCCGGTGGCGGCGGCGGCGGCAGCAGCAGCAGCAGCAGCAGCAGCGGCAGCAGCGGCAGCATTAGCATTATTACCGGGAAAGTTGTCAGGGACTTGGGTTCTCCAGCCCACCTCAGACCTCCTGAATCGGGAACCCTGGGGCGGGACCCGCACTCTGTGGTTTAACGACCTGTGAGGTGATTCTGATACCTCTAAAGTTTGAGAACCACTGCTCTAATAAAGCAATGCATTCATTCACTCACTTTCCCATCCACCCACCCTCCATTCGCGCATCCATCCATCCACCCATGGATCCAACAAGGATTTACCCAGCACTGCGTTTCCCTTCACTGATTGTCGGGAAAGCAGATACAAGAGACCTGGTTCATGACTTCCAGAAGGTGTGATTTTTTTCTTTCACATTTAGTAGTCTAGGCCTTTGGGCGGACAAGACTGGGAAAGGGAGGCTGTAAGGGCCATGAGACTGTTTTGGACTGTCGGGGAGAGGCCCTGGGGTCAGAGTGCAGCCTGACCCAGCAGGGGAACCAACCCCTCCGCACACCCTGACCTGGGCCCTGCACCCGGGAGCTCCCTCCTCGTGGCACTGGGCAGCTCTGAGACGAACAAGCTCTTCTTACACTGAACCAGAGTCTGCTCTTGTAACCGCTGCCTTTGGCCTGCTTTCTGCCTGTCCCCCTCCCCCAGGAAGCCAGGTGGGTGTGTGACCCCCCTCCCCAGTCTTCTCTCCTCCAGGGCAAGCACCCCAGCTCCCTCCACTGTTTCTCGAGGCATGTCCAGCCCACCCATCCTCCCTCCTGCCTGTCCTCAGGTGAAACTGGCATCTCACAGGTGAAGTTACTTCTGACCTGGGATTGAGGCGTGAACTCAGGGCTTTGGCCCCACTTTCTCATGATCCAAATTACTCTGGGAAATTCCCACAGACAGAGACTTCAGGCCAAGGGGGAGGTATAGGTAGATATACTTTGCTTCCTTGCACAATCAAAAGAAAAACAATAAATTTAAAAAGCAAAAATAACCAGAACTGTCAGAAAATCGAACTGTACGGAGGTCCACCAACCAAGAAGTTAAGAAACATTCATCCAGACAGGTAGGAGGGGCGGAGATGGGCAGCCGAGGCGGAGAGGACTAGTGGCAGGGTGGTAGCTGGAAGACTAGGGCAGGGGAGGCAGTGGCTGGCAGACCAGCAGCTCCGTATTTGCCTGCAGACAAACTGGGAGGAACAACTAGGGAGCACAACTAACCACACAACCCAGGGTTCCAGTGAGGGGGAAACACACCTCAAAACCTCTGACTGAAAACACCTGTGGGGGTTGAAGTGGCAGCGGGAGACACTCCCAGCCTCACAGAAGAGTTCCTTGGAGAGACCCACAGGGTCCCAGGATGTACACAAATGCACCCACCCAGAAATCAGCACCACAAGGGCCCAATTTGCTTTTGGGTAGCGGAGGAAGTAACTGAAAGCTGGGAGAGGGCTGAACAAGTGGCATTGTTCCCTCTCGGACCCCTCCCCCACATAAAGCATCACAATGCAATGACATGGGTTTCCCCATCCTGGTGAATACCTAAGGCTCCACCCCTTATGTAGTAAGGGGCACACCAAGTTATGTATAACAGGCACACCAAGACAAAAAAGAGAAATGACTCAAATGAAAGAACAGATCAAAGCTCCAGAAAAAATACAACTAAGCGAGAAAGAGATAGCCAACCTATCAGATGCAGAGTTCAAAACACTGGTATTCAGGATGCTCACAGCAATGGTTGAATATGGTCACAAAATAGAGGAAAAAGTGAAGGCTATGAAAAGTCAAATAAAGGAAAATGTACAGGGAACCAACAGTGATGGGAAGGAAACTCGAACTCAAATCAATGGTTTGGAGCAGAAGGAAGAAATAAACATTCAACCAGAAGAGAATGAAGAAACAAGAATTCAAAAAAATGAGGAGAGGCTTAGGAACCTCCAGGACAATTTTAAATGTTGTAACACCCAATTCATAGAGGTGCCAAAAGAAGAAGAGAAAGAGCAAGAAATTGAAAACTTATTTGAAAACAATGAAGGAGAACTTCCCCAATGTAGCAAAGGAAAGAGACTTCCAGGAAGTCCAGGAAGCTCAGAGAGTCCCAAAAAAGTTGGACCCAAGGCACATCATCATTACATTACCCAAGATTAAAGATAAGGAGAGAATCTTAAAAGCAGGAAGAGGAAAGGAGACAGTTACCTACAAAGGAGTTCCCATAAGACTATCAGCTGATTTCTCAAAAGAAACCTTCCAGACAAGAGGGGCTGGAAAGAAGTATTCAAAGTCAGGAAAGGCAAGGACCTCCATCCAAGATTACTCTACCCAGCAAAGCTATCATTTAGAATGGAAGGGCAGATAAAGTGCTTCCCAGATAAGGCCAAGTTCAAGGAGTTCATCATCACCAAGCCCTTGTTACAGGAAATGTTCTGACTATCTAAGAAAAAGAAGATAAAAAAATACAAACACTAAAATAAACTCACAACTATCAACAATTGAACCTAAAAAAACAAAAACAAAAACTAAGCAAACAACTAGAACAGGAACTGATTCACAGAAATGGAGATCACATGGAGGGTTATTAGCAGGGGGACGCAGGGGGAGAATGGGGGAAAAGGTACAGGAAATAAGAACCATAAATGGTGGGTACAAAATAGACAGGGGGAGATCAGGGGTAGTATGGGAAATGGAGAAGCCAAAGAACTTATATGTATGACCTATGGACATGAACTAAGGAGGGGGAATGATGGTGGGAGGAGGGGTATATGGCGCAGGGGAATAAAGGGGAGAAAAAAGGGGCAAAAAAAAATTCCCACAGAAAATGCCCTTTGGAGGCTGAGGCACCCCCAGTTTCTCTCCTCGGTGGGTGCCCCGCCTCTGCTTGGAACGCCATGGGACACGGGCTGGGTCTGGAATCAGAGTCAGCGGGGCGGGGCCTGCTGCGGGGGGCGGGGCGGGGGGGGCCTGCTGGGGGGAGCGGGGCCTGCTCCAGGGGAGCCTGGAAACTGAGCTGGAGGAAGGCAGCAGAGTCCCCAACCGGCTCAGCCTCTGGGGCAGATTGCCAGCTCCGTGGACAGGGCTGACCTTCTCTCTCCTGCGTTTTTCCCCACCGTCTGTGTGAGGCCACAGAAGTCAAACGTCCATCCACATAGGCACGATGCCTGCCCCCTCAGCACTGGTCCACTGCGGAATGCCCTGACCCCACACAGCCCTTCAGCCCTTCGGCTGGCTCTGCCGTCGGTCGAGCTCACGCAAAAGCCACCCAGTGGGGCCCCGTTCCCTTGCTCGAAGCCCTTGCGTGCTCCCTGTCACTTCTCAATGGGACCCTCTGTGAGGAAGCCACAGTTTCGTGGGACCAGCAGAGGTGATCTCTGTCTGCCCGGGGGGGCTATTAACGACCCCACCCTATTTGGAGGCTCCAATGAAACTACAGATGCTTGCCCAGAAAGATCCACGTACAGAACAATCTCGCAAAGCATTTGTTTCGAAGAACCCCTGGGCCCCGCTTTGTGGAGCCTGGTCTCAGAAGCCCCTCCTCTCCAGCACACCCCCTGCCCTCCCCACTCCGGCACCGGCACCGAGCTCGTCCACCTCGCCCAGCTTCTGTTCCCGCCTCCCCCTCTCCCGAGTACCTCCCCTCCCACTGGTTCATTCCGCCCAGCCTCCAGCCCCCAAGATCCTCTCCCCACCCTAGTCCCCCCAACCTTAGCACGTTGTGGGGTGGCTAATGGTCCCATCCCACCCGGGGTTTTAGTGTCTTGGCTGGATGGTGAGCCTTGGAAGGGGACGATGGGGCACCCACAGCCGCAGGCCTGCCCCGTTCTGTTGTGCTTTGCCTCACTGCGCCCTCGGAGATGTTGGGTTCGTTCACAGACTGAAGGCAAGGCCCTCCAGTAAAAGATCGTGACCCACTGTACTGCGGCACCTGCTATATTGCAGCAGTCCGAACCGAACCTGCAACATCTCTGAGGTCTGCCTGTGCATCCAGTTCACCCAAAGATGCTACTAACGCCTGTTGTATGGACGAAGGAAACGAGGCTCAGAGAGGCTAAGTGACCTGCCTCAAGTCTAACTAGAAAGGAAATGGTCATTGGGATCAGATTTGCCATAATAATTTAGGATCATGAGTAGGTCAAGGGTCACCCCACCAGTCCAGCTGGGACACCTTTGCTTCTAGGTAGGCTCTGCCTCGGGCCGTGGATGGACAGCAGTGGTGCTGGCCCATGGCTCATGGCCCGGGGCAGCGGGCCGGCTCCTCACCCGAGGGGAAGCCACTTCCACGGAGTGGCCGGTGGGGGCGTGTTACCTTATCGACGGATGGGAGCGCCTGAGTCCAGCTGTGTTCCCCAGGTGCTCTGGAGGGCCCAGTGGCCCTCCTCAGGTAACGTCCATGGACCTCACATGAGTTCAGGATGTACAGAGCACAGGCCAAGGCATAGCCTCCCCAGTTGGAAACACCTAGAACAGAAGAAGACTTCAGCACAGACCTGGGAAGGTCATGCGGTCCACCATCACCCAGCCTCTAAGCATCAGAACGCATCTCAAGAGTGGTCCCCAGACCAGTGGTGCCAGTGGTACTTGGACCTCACTGGAAACACAAATTCCTAGGCTGTAGCCCAGGCCTACTTAACCAGAAGCTCAGCAGGAGAGTGGGGAGCAAGCTGAGTTTTACTAAGCCTTCCATAGGATTCTGATTCAAGTTCAAGTCTGAGAAGCTTTGCTCTAAACCATCTGGGGTATGTACTGTTAATGACCATCAGGGAAAAAGATCCAGGCGGTGAGAGAAGAAGCCGCTCCAGGACGCCCCCTTGTGGAGTGGCTGCCCCGAGACCTCAGGCAGCATGGAGGCCTGTCCTCAGAGGGGCGGAGGAGCGGGTGGCAGCTCCATCACCCGTGTCGTCACACTCCCTCCTGTGCTAGACGATGACTCCCAAATCAGCCTCATGCCCTTCCTCCGTGACCAGCCAGCCCCAGAGGGCCATTTCCCACTTTGGGGACTACCTCACTGGCTCTTCTCTGAAACCTGCTTGAGTTAGTTCTCCCCTTGGTTGAGGAAGGGTGGGTTAAGGACCAGCTGAGCTCTAGGTGCAAGAGGGTCGAAGAAGAAAGAGGCAAGCAGGGCAGAGAGGGACTGGGCACACAGCCAGCCGCAGGACGGCACAATCCATGGAACAAGGCGTTCCCCAAGGGTTAGGGGAGCGCTGAGAAGGGCACTCATTCCGACTGACTCGGAGAAGGCGCACAGAAAAGGCTGATTTAACAGGGGCCTTGCGGGCTGGGTGGAATTTGCCAGAGGAAGGGTGAAGGTAGGAAAAATCGAAATACCCACTGGGTACAAAGAAAGGCAGGTGGCGTGACACTAAAGCCATATATCAGAATGTGACGGGTGAAGATCATGTGACAATAATACCGTATTCCACTGCTTCTGAGATGCACATTTTTTTGACATTAACATCTCTGAAATTGCGATGCCCCTGGTAGTCAATTTCATTATATGTTTATAAACGACAATGCTTCGCTTTGTTAGAGGGACATAATGGTGATTCTCATCATTAGCAGTCCCTTATAGACAATGGAAGAAAGCAACTTGCTCTGATTGAATGCTTGCAATGTGTGGCGCTGTTCTAACGCCCTGCATGGATTAGCCCCTGGAGTCCTTATAATAAGCCTGTGAGGCATGGGTGTTATAATCTCCATTTACAAATCTGGGAAACAGGCACAGAGGGGTTAAGTCACTTGCCTAAAGTCACACAGCTCGTAAGTGACGGGTTTGAGATGCAAACTCAGGCTGCTGCCTCTGGAGCCTATATTCTTTAAAAAAATTTTTTTTTAATTGTTAACTGTGGTTAAAAACCCCCACACAACACAGAACGGACCATCTTAAACACTTTCAGGTGTGCGGCGCAGCAGTGATAAGAATATCCACATTGTTGTGCCGCTCCCGAGCCCACACTCGGCCTCCACGTGAGTGGAAAATAGAGACGTATTTGCGAAGGAACGTGGAAGGGAAGGAGAAGTGCTAAAGTGCGGGTCCACCGGGCGGCTGGGACAGACAGCGGGTGTTCACTGGGTGTGAACACGAGAAGCTGACGTGCAGAACTGGCAATGCTGATGGTCACGGTGAGATTTTCACACCTTCCACCACCCGTCTCTACCTGCCTTTTGAAAATGTTGTGGTATGGTTGTTACATCATCGTTGCCATGGAAAATGACTAAACCCACGCTGTATGAGCCCTACATGGGTGGGTCATGGGGCACAGCGTGGGGATCGAGGACACGAGGCTGAGGGGCCCCAGGGCCAGGAAAGGAGACTGGACTTGAGCCCACATGCAGGGCCCCTGATCTAGGGCGCAGTGACCTGGGTCCCACTGTGCACTGTCACCTCGACGCTGGCTTGGGATGCAGCCCCAAACAGGACAGGACGGCACCCCGTTAGGGCCAGGGCGCCGGGGGCCACGGACCCTGTTGGGCCTGACTGTAGCAGGTGGACAAGCTGCTGACCTCTGCCGGGTCTGCTCCATCCCCGGGGTCCGGGTGGAGGAGGATGGAGTCAGGCAGGGCTGCCATGCCTCCCGAATCACTCTCCCGGGAGATCCCTCTGCCTGTTGCCCCCAGCCTGCTACCAAAGCGGCAAATCTCTCTGAGTGCCCAGCCCAGGGCCCTCCAGAGGTTTCCCCTAACCCTCACAGAGAGCCGTTGTTGGGGCGAGGCCAGCAAGGCTGGGAAATAAGAGCCGCCGCCGGCCGGCCTGCCTGCCTGCCTGACCCCCCCACCCTTGGTCCTTCTCACGGACACGGAGCTGAAGGACCAGACGCGACTCTCTGCCTTCGGGTCCGGCAGCTCCCAGCCCTAACTCGGGGGGCCCCTGTTCATCTCTCTCAGCCCCAGACCCGCAGATTTTCCTCCGATGCTTTCCTTCCTAACAGCCCGGTCCCCACCGTCAAATGGGGTCACCTCCTCTCTTTGTGGGACTTGACCTGCTGCGGAAGCAATGTCAGTGACGCGGCGGCCATGCCCGTGGGGTTTGACCCATCACACAAGAACCTGCATTCTGGGTGGCAGGTACACTTGAGGAAATCTGGCGACTTCCCAGGAAATTCTCCGGAGGCTCCCTTGCCCTCCACCCCCAGGCCCCAGGGTAAAGGAGGCGACGGGCGGATGATGGGTCTGCCCACAGCAGGCGAACTCGGGAGGGTTTCTCCTCCCGCCTCTGGGTGTGCTGCTGCCCAGCGGACTGAGAGTGGACGGCACAGACATAGGATGCGTATGTACATCCTGTCAGCTCCCACTCGCTGTCTCTGCATCTTTGGGGAGCGTCTCTTTCAGGTCTTTTGCCCATTTTTCAATGGGGCCATTTGTTTTCTTGTTGTGGAGTTTTTAAGAGTTCTTTGCGTCTTTTGGATAACAAGCTTCTGGCCGGACAGGGTCCAAGCCAGGTCCCTCGCCTGGGCAGCCAGGCCCGACTGACTGGCCAGCCCTTCGAGCACTCACCAGCGATGACAGCAAAGTCAGCCTCCACGTCACAGGCGATGACATCCCCATTTCGTATGTGTCTCTTCACGGCCTCCTTGACTTTGCCCATCCCAAGCTCATTGCCTCCGTCCCCGACCCCTGGAGGGAAGACAAGCTGAGTCAGTCAGTGCACAGGGCGAGGCCGACGACGGCGGGAGGTTTGGGGGCAGGGCCACCCCCGCACACCTGCCTGCTGCCTCCGGGAAGGGAACTGGGTTGGCTCTGGGTGTATTCCAGACAACCAGGAGACGGTGTACTTCTCCTTTAGGCATTCTAGAAACCTCCCTAGTTACAAATGAGTCGAAGTTTGGAGCTCCCCAGAGTGTGGCTATGTCCCTCACTGGGTCATGCTCTCCAGTCACAAAGGGCGCACCGCCCTCTATGTTGGCACAGGTGCGGGGAGGAACCGCCTCTCCTTTCGTCAGTGGCTCTTGCCCAGGGAGGGGCCACGCGTCCCTGTCCCCATTAGTGTGACCAGATGGCATTCTGCTGGCAGAAGTGAACTGGAATGGATTTTTTTAAGTCAGTTCTGTAACTTATTTTCAAGGCTTCTGTTTAAAGAACGTGAAATGCAACCCTGGCTGGTGTAGCTCAGTGGATTGAGCGTGGGCTGCGAACCAAAGTGTCACAGGTTCAATTCCCAGTCTTGGTACATGCCTGGGTTGCAGGCCATGGCCCCCAGCAACCGCACATTGATGTTTCTCTCTCTCTATCTCCCTCCCTTCCCTCTCTAAAAATAAATAAATAAATCTTAAAAAAAAAAGAATGTGAAATGCATGTGAGTGGGTAGATTTCGATCTACACCAACTCAAGGGTGGGGTGGCCTCATGGATATACAAACCCCGGGGGTGGCTGGGCAGCATCTGAAAGAGACCGCTGTCTCTCGGCCAATTTGTCCATCAGACCAGAGGACTCGTTAATTAGCATAATAAATGCCAGACTAAGTATGTTTGAATAGATACACATTAGAAGTTGTTTAATCCATTGGTGAAACTAGTAGTGTTCAAAATAGGTGAACGGGCTAAAAATAACCCACAGACCCCCACCCCTTGCAGGAACACCCTTGTAAATGGAAACATCTGACCCACCCTACAGCCGGTACCCCCCAGGTGGTGCTCTAGCACCTTGTTTGGTCTCCTGGGTCCGGGCATTACTAGAGTGTTCCACAGATTAGAGGCCAGCTGAATCACCTGTAGAACACGGCTGTGGTTGCCTCAAGACAACCGTGTGTCCAGGTGCTCGTCCGAGCGCCTCAGCCGCAGGGCCGGGCCCCCTGAGCCTTCAGAGTGTGGTGTGACCAGGCGTCAGTTCACACGGACGCACTCCGAGCGCTGCATCGCCGGGTGATTCCGCTGTGCGGACCTCACAGCGCCCAGACACAAGACCGGGTGATGCAGACACAAGACCTCGGCTCTGAGGTGCGTGCGGCCCGTTGTCCCCAGACCACAAGCCTGGGCAGCTGGTGTACGGAACAGCAGGCAGTCGGAACACAATGGTATTCATGTATGTGAACATAGGAAAGGTACAGTGAAAGCATAATACAGAAAGTTTTTAAAAATGGTGCACCCGTCCAGGGCACTGGCCACGGACGGAGCCCGCAGGACTGGACGCTGCCCTGTGTGAGTTGGGGAGCTGGTGGGAGTGGGTGCACAGGGCCAGGACGTCCCTGGACGCGACCGCAGACTGTTCAGACACGGTCCTCTTACGCTACCCTAATTTATTTAAAAAATATTTTTCTTTCTTCAGTAATAAACTTACGTAAGCTAATGATAATATTTTTACTTTACAAACTTTAAAAATGCTTTTATTTTTTGACCCTTTTGTAATACTACCTAGCTTAAAACTCACACATGGTGTTCAGTGGTACATTTTCTTTACATCCCTATTCTATAAGCTGTTTCCTATTTTTAAACTTATTAAATTTCTTGTTGCTTTCTACACTTCGTTAAAAACTGAGGCACAGACACACACATCAGCCTAGGTCTGCACAGGGTCCGCATCACCGATCGATACCCCGTCTTCCGGCCCCACACCCGGTCCCTCCGGGGGGGACCGGGGGCAACAACGAGGACAGAGCTGGCCTCTCCTGGGATGAATAGGCCTCCCTCTGGAGTGACCTCCTGAAGGAACTGCCTGAGGCTCTCCCGAGGAGGTGTCCCTCTTTTCTGAGATACGTCCGAGGCGACGACTTGCTTGGCTTGTTCCTTTTCTCCATCGTAGATTTGCTCGTGAGCAGATCATGCCCCGGAGCCTTCCAACCTGTCAGTGAAAGCCGCTCCTGGGGGGGGGTCCCTATTTGCAAACTTTCTAAGGAGCCTGTTGAGGTCTGCAAAAGCTTCTGCGAAACACTTCACTGTTTATTTTCTTGGGGGTTCTTCTTCCCCCTCTTCCTCCTCTTCTTCTTCCCCCTCTTCCTCCTCTTCCTCTTCCTCTTCTTCCCCTTCCTCTTCCTCTTCTTCCCCTTCCTCCTCCTCCTCTCCTTCTCTTCCTCCTCCTCCTTCTCCTTCTCCTATAGGTACCTTTTCCCTTGCTTCTTTAGCTCTGCGTTCCTGCCCCGGTTCCAGCCACTCCGCATCAGTCAGTCCCTCAGGAACTGTCCTCACCACATCCTCATCCGCACCACAGCCAGGTTCAAGTCACGTGTCACCTCAGCTACAACCTCGGGGGTGTTCGCAACCTCCGCACCCCCGGAAAATCCTCTGACGTCATGGACAAGCCTCTCGACTGTCTTCTTCCAGGGGCCAATCACACACTCCCTGGCGACATCAGCCCTCCCCAGGCAAGGGTCGTGGTGCCGTCACAGACGCTGTCACCCTTCTGGAACTGTATCGGCGTCTTCCTCGGTTGCAGCAGTAGCCCGGGCAGAGGTCCCCCGCAGGCAGGAGGCCTTCAAAGACGCTCTAACTCCTCAATCTGTGGTTTGGGTCAAAGAGGGAATGTTTGGAGGAAGAAATACTTGGACATTGGGATGAAAATCATCAACAAAAGGAGGGTGTCTGGGAGCATGACCAACAATAAGCAAAATCTTGAAAGGTGTGTTATTCTCTAAACACACCTGGACATTTGGCCGACAGAGCAAGTCGGGAGGGCGTTGGAGGAGGAGCCGGGCCATCCGTGGCGTCCTGCTGCCCCTGCAGCGCACTGGCAGGGGCGTGCTTGAAGGCCGGGGGTTCTCCCCGGGCCACGTCACAGAGGGATTCGATGTGCAGCCTGCAACATCGCCACAAGGAGGACTGTGGTCTTGTCCTTAAAGCCTTGAAACCTGGCCTCGACTTGGCCTCCTTATGCATGAAGGTCCGTCCAGGCATCCGTTTCCAGAAGAGGAAGGTCTCGTTCACATTGAATATTTGTTCTGGCGGGCAATTTCCCTCCACAGCCGGCTTGTCCGGAGTTTCCGAACATCTCTCAGCTCTGCACCCACATGCTCACCACTCGCTCTCGCTCGCGTGATGCAGGGAATGACAGTTCGTGAACCGTTTCGGTCACCCGGAGCTCGCCGTACACGCGCCGTCATCAGGCCCAGCCTTTTCTCTCAACGTTGCAAACAAACTTTCTGCTTGAGTCACGATTGTCACGGTGCTGAGAGGGACACGCCGCTGTGTCTGGTCTGCGATCCTGGTCGTCAGAAGTTTCTTCACGTCTGATCTGGGCCCTTCTCGAGGTCCTGTTCTGCTCATCGCCTTCAGTGGAGCAGAGCCTTTCGCAGCCTCTGTCACTTGGTTCTTGTTCTCCTCGGTCGTGGCTCTGGTGGAACGGGGCACGCCTGCAGGCGAGTGGCGCTCCTCGCTGAGTTCCCACCTGCGTCGTCCTCCACACTCACCATGACGTTGCCACGTCAGTCACTCAACACGGCCCCTTCCCGGCAACACGAGCGGCGACTTTGTTCACTTAGGGCCGAGATGATCCAAATACAAGGTTAAGTCCAGCACAGGAGAACACGATGCGACCCAGAGACGCGGTGACCATGAGATGTGCAAAGCTCTGGCCAGCGTGACATGGAGTTCCGCTTCACAGCAAACTCTCTCACATGGAAAGAGGGCCTTCCGATGTGACAATAAAACATGGCATAGCGACTACCTAAACCAGTAACAGTTAGTTGTTCAAGGTCATGAACAAGTAGCACGTCCTGCACATGACTGCACGTGCCATACGCCCGTGCTACCGACAGGGCTGCAGGTGCATTTCTGCCAGCACCGGCGAAAACGCGTGAGTGACGCAATGCTCTGCGGTGTTAGGACAGGTGTGATGTCACTAGGTGACAGGAAGTTTTCAGTCCCACCATCGTCCTCTGGGACCACTGTGGCCCACGCGGTCCACGTTGACTAGAACATCATTATGCCTCAGACGACTGCATGGCAGCGTCTGCGTCTGTTCCTACAAAGGCTTGGGCTACGCGGGAAATTCACCGGAGGCCAGCGTTCATCGCGAGATGGTGGGGAGGGGACCTGGAGATGACCCACCTCGAGCATCAGAGACCTGGACTCGGCCAGGAGAATCAGACAGTTGCGAGTGGCCAACTTCCTTAGGTCCGCACCCTGGCGGGTCTTCTGAGAACGGTTTTCCAGATCTAGGACAGCCCGTTGAATGAGGACCAACAATAGCAACACCTAGCATCGGCATTTTGTCTGTTTCTGCCTCTGCTCTTTGGCGTTTTGTGAATTTCACCCTGTCCCTGGCCTTGTTTTCCTTGCTGAGCTCCAGAGTCTCCGAGAGGGGCGAGGTGGGGACAGCAATGAATGGTGGGCGTCTTGGTTCCATTTCGGTGCTACACGCACACGAGACAGCTGCCCGGGGAAACTGAGCAATGGGGTGTTCACGGAGCAGAGGAGAGAAAGGACATTTGGGGGTTAGCTCTGCTGGGCGAGGGCTGTGGGAAGGCACCACTTATGCCCCTGAGGCCCCGAGAAGCAAGCAGGGGTCCATGAAGGCAGGGCTGTGAAGGCACAGTCAGCTCCACCTGCTTGCTCTGGGGTCTCCAGGAGCCCACTTGGGGGATCGGCGCAGAGTGGGGTCTGTGCAGCGTGAACTCGGAGACCCTTTCCTTTTCTGCCCTGGATTCTCCCCCACCCCCCGCCCAGCCCTAGTCAGGGTATCCAACCTTTTGGCATCTCTGCACCGCCCTGGGAAAAGAAGACTTGTCTTGAGCCACACGTTAATACAATGCACTACGTAATCACCAAAACATCTCATAATGTTCTAAGTACATTGACCATTTTGTGTTCACATTCATAGCCTCAGGCTGTATCCGCAGCCATCCTGAGCCGCGTGCTGCCTGCGGGCCACAGGTCGGACACCCTGGGAGGCCTTCCGCCTGCCCCGCCCAGAGAGACAGGAAGCTCAAAGCCAAGTGCTCTGTGAGCGCCCGCCCCCCCACCCGAGGGCTCTTCTGGGAAGGACCAGGGCAGACTGGCAGACAGCCCCTACTCAGCCGGAAGACTTTTATTGTCTCATCAGAAACCTTAAAAGCCTAAGGCGACTAATGAGTCTGGGAAGCGCCGTGGCCTGTTGGAGAGAACAGACAAACACGGAACGGCAAGCAGGCCTTACTGACCTGCCCCCCGGGGAGGAGGCCAGCTGGTTCTCTGCGGGAGTTACGTGCAGCCTGTCAGAAACCCACGGGTTCCGTGGAGAGCCTGTGGGGCACGGTCTCGGGAGCCTGATTCTCCCGGCGACACCAGGGAGCGGGGCAGCCTCACGAAGCCCCGCGAGGCCACAGTTTCGGGTGCGGTGTACCTGCCCGATCTACCTCCCAGGGTTTTGAAGAGGCTTCAACAGTGCAAGAGGTGTGAAACCTCTTTGAAAACTAGGGAGTTCTGTGCTTTACACAAACGGTCACACTAGGATATTGTTAGCAATCAAAATACTGCCCTAATCATATAGGTAACATGTTTAAAATGCATATGCTTCATACGGTTGTTGGCAGTCAGACAGATGTGAGCAGAGCCGGCACAACCGTCCTGTACAGAAGGTCACCAGGACAGACAGCCCTGGGTGCCCAGCAACAGGCAAGACTGGGAAGACAAGGGTCTCGCCCCCAGGGGGACCTGTCCTCCCCTAGCGTGTCCCTGGTCCTGCAGTATAGACCTCCCTGACCTCTCACATCACTGGTCACTCAGTTTAAAACCCTTAACTTTTCCTCCCTAAGGATACCATCTAGGTCTCAGTTGTGCTTCAGCCCCAGGCCCAGAAAATCAGCAAAACCAGACAAGCGACACCATGGTGGCCTCAGGACCTGCAGCCATGACTAACGACCCCTTGCTCTGGCGCCAACCAATCACTGGAGACCGCGACCCTGAAAAGACACACTGGGAAAGCTGATAAATGTTCTACTGGGACCCTCCCCTGAGAGTTCCCCCTACACTCCCGCCTGCAAGAGAGAAATAAAAGCCCTCAGGACAAAGGACCAGGTGTGCTTTCCCTCTGGGGCGGGGGGTACCTGTGTCTTTCTCCTCCCCATCTTCTCCCAACAGGTGGCATGTCCTAAGCCCCAAGGAACCCCACGAGACATGCAACCAGGGGAGCAGTGGGCAGCAGCAGCTCCTCCCGGGCCAATCCCCTAAACCCGTCCCACGGCCTCCCGTTCTCTGACTTCCCCGTGAGCTAAGGCAGCCCAGCCTGGGCTCTGCTGTGGTTTCTTCTGTGCTCAGCCCTGCACTGTTGCACTGTTTGGAGAACCTCTGCCCCACTCGCTGTACTGCACTTTGTCTCTCAGCTAACCTCCTTCCTTCAAGAAGACGAGAACCTAGCCCTAGCTGGCGTAGCTCAGTGGATTGAGTGCGGGCTGCAAATCAAAGTGTTGCAGGTTCGATTCCCAGTCAGGGCACATGCCTGGGTTGCAGGCCACGACCCCCAGCAACCGCACATTGATGTCTCTCTTTCTCCCTCCCTTCCCTCTCTGAAAATAAATAAATAAAATCTTAAAAAAAAAAGAGAGAGAAAGAAGACGAGAACAGAGGTCTTGCCAACAACAAGATGATCCATAGCACGCAGGGCACAGTCACGTACATGAGCAAAATAATATGCCGTGCCTTGATTTTCTTATTATTAGCCTATTATTAGCTTTAATATTTTAAAGTTGGGGAAATAGGATATGCTAGGTTAAAGGGCATTTCCCTTTGTTGCTTGCAGGAGCGCTGGATTTCTGAACAATGATGTCGTGTGTAGGGACCCTAATAAAAGAAGACCATATCTGCAGTGGAAAACAATGGTCCCCATATAACTCTTTCCTGTCTGTGTTCAATGGTCAATAAACAGTCATTCAGTGCCGATGTGCTCGTGGAACTGGTAGTGCCCTTGCTTACCGGTTGACGAGATTCCAGGGATTTTCTGGGCTGCGAGGAAAAGATCGTCGATGGGATCGACCAAATGCTTGATGTTCATTTTCCTCGCGTTGTAGTGGTTGCCGTCGGCAGCCCTTCCTGTGCGTTCTATCGCCACCAGGTGGTCGAATCTGCCAGGAAGCAAGAGCACAGGGCCTCAGGGAGAGCACAGGGGCCTCAGGCTGCTTTGGTGCAGAGTTCCGCCCTCACGTGTTTGTGTGAAGGACACTTCATTCTTTCTCTGATTCCTTCATTCCTGCAGAACTGGGCTGAACATCTACTGTGTGCCAGGACCTGCGCTGGAGGCTCGTCTAGCAGATCATGGTAAGAAATGATATCGGAATCTTCAGCAATTTATTCGAGTCAGAGGCTCTGAGAACAGGAAGGCCGATGGTCAGGGTCATGACCACAGACGATGCTGGTGCCCCGCCCAGACCTCCATTAGCCAGTGGGGGAGCCGGCGCCCAGTGGTTTGGGTGTTGGCTGCTACTGGCCCACGGCTGCCCTCTTCCAGGATCTTGTTCAGTTTGCAGACACAAAGAGACCAAAAAGAAATGGAAATATTAGACCAATAAATCTACTGCAAGACAAACTTCTTGAGACAGAAAGAGACAGAGAGACAAGGGGTAGAGCCAGCGTGGAGTAGAAATGCCGGCCGCAGAATCAAATTATGCAGGTCCTCATGCCACTGGGTCTGGGTAAGTTGCTTAACCTCTCCAGCCTCCTTTACCGCATTCTGTCACGTGACCTAACAATGGGACCGTCTCTAACCCTGTTGAAAGCATTAGGAGAGCTCATGCACAAGAGGCGCTCAGCATAAAGCACTGCACCTACTCAGTGCTGGGCGAGTGCTCCTGGTGGTGGTCCTGGCTGCTATTATTGTTATCAGGAGGAGTGCCATTTTGAAAATAAGAGCATGAAAATTACACTTTTTTCATCTCTTTAAATCCCCTCCCCACTCCACAATGAGTTCTTCAGAATCTTAATTCTGCTGTGGAAAACAGTATGGCTGTTACACAAAAAATTGAAATATAATTACCGTATGATCCAACAATTCCACTTCTGGTATATGCCCAAAGGAATTGGAAGCAGGGAGTCAGAGATATTTATGCACCCACAAAACCAGCAGCCCTGTTTACAATAGACAGGAGGTGGAAGCAACCCAAGCTTCCATCAGCGGACGAACAAATAAGCAAAATGTGGTATATACGCACGATGGAATATTATTCAGCCTTTCAAAAGACAGAAATTCTGATATGTTACCGCATGGATGAATCTCAAGGACGTTTTGCTAAGGGAAATAAGCCTGTCACAAAATGACAAATACGATAGGATTCTACTTATGAGAAGTACTTAGAATAGTCAAATTTATAGAGATATGAAGCAGGGGTGGTGGTTATCAGGGGCCGGGGTAGGGAAGAATAATGTCTAATGGGCACATTTCAGTTTGGGAAATGAAGAGTTCTGGGGTGGACGGTGGGGGGCGGGCCTGCAATGTGTATGTACTTAACACCACTGAACTGTGCACTTAAAACGGCAAAACGGTAGTTTTTTAAATCTTCACCCTAGGATATGTATATTGATGAGAGAGAGAGAAGAAAACATTGATGTGAGAAAGAAACATTGATCCATTGCCTCCTGTTTGCACCCCAAGTGGAGGTCAAATCTGCAACGTAGGTGTGCACCCTGACCAGGAAGTGAACCTGCCACCTTCTGGTGTACAGGACGATGCCCCAACCAACTAAGCCATCCAGCCACGGTGCAAAAATGGTGAAATTTTATATTATGTATATTTTACCATAATAAAAAAAAAGTCCTAACCCTGAAAATGCTTTCTCTGAACATGTTTCTTAAAAACAAAATCTGCATGCTGGTCCGTGTCCTCAGGTTTGGCTAGAACGCGGTGGCATCGCACACGCGTGGAGGAGCCGGCCGCTGGGCGGGGGCGGGGACTGGGTGTAATCCCCATGCGCCTGCGCAGTGCAGGGAAGGCAGCCACTGGGGCCCAACGGCAGCGGGAGGGAGGAGCTGACCTGCGTTTCCTGCAGACCCGCGGCAGCGCGGCAGCGATGCGGCCAACAGTTAGTTCAGCCCAAGAGCTCCGGTGGAGCCCGGCGCATCCTCTGCTCTGGAAGAACACTCTTCCTGGGCCCTCCCCCCACAGAACTCAGTGACATATCTTGTGTGGGTGGATCTCTTTTTTTTTTTTTTTAAAGCCCGCAGGGTCCATTTAGCTACCGTGGGAAGTAATTCCCTCCTGGGAAGTCTGCTCCCTGGGAAAGGTCGATGCATCTTCTTCAGGGGGAGCAGGATCCTCTCTCCCTGCGGTCAGATCCGTCACCTAACTGCGCAAATGGAGCAAACCTGTTATCTGGCAGCGGGGGCCTGCCACGAGGGCTTTCCAGAGCTTCTCCTGGGGCAGCCTGGGGCAGCCAGAGTGCGAGTGCCTGCCAGCCATTCAGGGAATATCGGCAGTTCTCACAGGCGCCGCACCCGGTCCCGCAGCAGCTCCCAGTTGCCTGTGGGCTCTGCAGTGGAACTTCTCCTCCCCACTCGGGTCCTCCCTGTGAGCACCTGACTTTGCTGCGAGCTGCTGTGTAGCTTATGCCCTCCAGGTCTAGAAAAGTAGGGTTTTCAAAGTCTCAGTGGACCCTCATTAGTGGGCTGTAAAATAGATGTATCAGGTCTGGTCAGCCTTTTCTGAAAAGCAGGTGAAAACAGAGTAGAACAGAACAGAACAGAACAGAATAGGTCAGAGTACATTGCATGTAGCAAGAGCAACTGGTTTTTCCAGACTTCTGCTTGAATTGTGTGTGTGTGTGGTTTGCAGTGCGAAACGTATTACTGCGGACTGTTGTCGAAAAGGGGTGCAAAACACAGCGCTGCAAGTTACGAGATCCGAAATACCTCCTTCGTACAGAAAAGAAGTGTTTTTCGAAGTGTTTGACTGCGACTGGGGGAAAACACATTCACCTGCGCACAGGTGGTTTCGCGGCGAGTGCTCGCTGCCCCTCTGCAGGGCACACGGTGATGTTTTCCTTTCCTTTGACAAAGGTGCTGGTTGCCCCCCACTGAAATGAATTCGCTGCTTTCCGATGGATCATGACCCAGTCTGAGAAACTGCTCATTTCTGGTTTCTATAATTTTCTTCTCCCTCTGTCCAGAAGACGTGCTCCGGACCCTGCTACTCAGAGCCACCCTCTGCGAAGCCCCCAGCACACACTGAACCCCCAGCCTGGTTGGTGAGTCTGGCCCGTTGGAACCCGCGGGCTCATGGCCCTGCTCTCTCTGCAGGGGAGCCCTGCCCCGTGTGGCTCAGTGGGCTGGGTGTCGTCCCGCAAAGCGAAAGGTCGCCGGTTTGATTCCCAACGGGGGCACACGCCTGGGATATGGGTTCTGTCCCCCATTGGGGCACATACGAGAGGCAACCGACTGATGTTTCTCTCTCACACTGATGTTTTCTTCCCTCTCTCCCTCCCTCCCTTTCCCTCTTTCTAAAAATAAATAGATAAAACTTTAAAAATATATAAATAAACTGGGATGGGACCCACATACCTAGGAGACCTGGGGCCCCCATCACCGCAGAGAAGCGCCTGCGCAGCTCCCGCTGACCCACCTGGGTAAGTTAATATGGGGATGCCCGTCTTCATAACACCTTGAAAAGAAAGGCAGAGTGGACACATCAGTCTAGTGTGAATCTGGGGAATTCCTGTTGGCTTTTCGAAAGCTGCTTTGGAAATGATTGTTTCCATTGCTGAATGACATTTGCCTGCAGAATACTTTGTTAGGAACGCCAAGCCCTCGACCCAGAGGAAACTTTGGTTTATTTACTGTTAGTCCTGAGCAAACCCCAGGGTTGGCAGAGGGCGAGGTGAAGCCGGGCTGGGCTGGGCTCACCAACATTGCGGGCTAGCAAATACGCTCCATGCAGGTGCCACATGGCACTTGAACACAGGCCTGTTCTGAGCCACTGGCATCATGATGCTGGTGACACACTTAGGTGTCCATGGTGACAGTGAGCCGGCCCTTTGTAAGCAGGTGACACACACACTCGTGTTTAATTCTCCCAACACATCTGCGTGATAAGAACCACTGGGACCCCCATTGCACAGAGGAGGAAAACTGAGGCTCAGAGATGCTGTATGCCTTGGACGAAGCCTAGTAGGTAGGTCGGTGTCACGACGCCAGTTCCCACCTACACAGGTGGCCCAACAGAGCAGGGAACATAACCTGTCCCCTGGTGGGCTCACAGGGTGGGCAAGGTTGAGGCAAGATGAGACTTCTCACCTGAGCTACAAAGAACCAATTTGTCAACATGGTCAATTTATACTCAAGACACAGAAGAAATGACTCTGCTTTTCCTTCTTACAACATCTCCTAGGCTTCCGTTATAAACAGAACTGGATCCGTTACATTAAAAGCTCAACTCCCTTCTGTTTCCTTTGTCCACAGGTAATGAAAGTTCTATAAAATCCAACACAACAATCACACCTGCTAGGCCACTGTGTGGACGAGCCCAAGTCTGAGGTCAAGTTCAACTTGAGGCCCTGAGCAGGGTGACTTCTGGGAAAGTGAGTGACTAAATATACCCACCAAACCAGGTTTTAGATGGCAATGATTGCCAGTCTGTTGGGGCAGTTGGCTGTCCCTTCTCCGTGATGACAACACCATCCCTTGGTTTTCCTCTTTCCTTGGTGCAACTCCTTCTCGGTCTCCTAGCTCGCTCCTCCCTTCCCCACGACCCCTCCACGTGGAGCGTCCCAGGGTCCTTTCCTCTGTCTCCGCTTATTCCCTCGGTGATCCCATCCAGAGTCTTGATTTAAAACACCACCAATTTGCCAACCACGCTGCAATGTATCCTTCCAGCCCAGACTGCTCTCCTGAACTTGACTCGTAGATCTAACTGCCCTTGACTTCTCCACCGTGCGCCCAGGAGGCATCTCACACTCGGTCACCCGGGCTCCAGCCTGCACTCTTTCAAATGTTGGGTTTGTGGAAAAACACACATCACGTAAAAGTTACCATCTCGCCCATTTTTAAGGGCGCAGGTCTCCGGCCTGAAGTGCACTCAAGTTGTTTGGCCGTCACCATCACCCATCACTGCAAGTTTTACATCTTTGCAAACTGGAACTCTGTCCCCACGAAACACTAGCCCCAGTCCCCTCCCCACAGCCCCTGACAAGCACCATTCTACTTCTCGTCCCTACGATTTTAATTACTCATGGAAGTGGAAGCTTACAGTATTTGTGCCTGGCTTATTTTACTTAGCATGATGTCTTCAATGTTCATCATGTTGTAGCACGTGACAGGAGTCCCTTCCTTTGAAAGACTGAATGATACTCCACGGCGCGGATGTGCCATCTTTTGTTTATCCGTTTGTTCATGAGCAGACACCGGGTCACTTGCGCATGGTGCCTGTTGTGAATGATGCTGCTGTGAACACGGGTGTGCAAGTATCTGTGTGAGTTCCTGTTTTCAGGTATTTGGGGCAGATACCCAGAAGTGAAATTGCTGCATCATATAGATATCTTCTATTTTTAATTTTTTGAGGACCCGCCATATGATTTTCCACAGTGGCTGCGCCCTTCCCACCGACCATGCGCACAAGGGTCGGCCTGCCCCACCCACCGTCTCGCTCACCCCGGTTCACAGCAGCTCCGCCCCTTCAGTTACCCGCCCAGACCCTCAGAGCAAAACCCCCGATTCTTCTGTCTCGCACTGCATCCAATCTGCCCGGGAATCACAACTCTACCTTCCAAACAGAGAGTGTCCTGGCTACTTCTCGCAACCTCCACCTGTACCATTCATCTGTCTGGGTCCCCCCGGAACTGGAGTCGGAGACAAGGACTTGGGGGCAGGTGGTTTATGGGGGAGGTGACCCCAGGAGGCAGCTGGGACGGGCAGGAGGAAAAGCCAACAGGAGGGTCTGTGTCTTTTCCAGGTCACTGCTCTCGCTAGGTAACAGGGTCTCAGTTCCATCGGGACCTGCGTGTCTCCATAAGATGGGAGGTGGGGCACCAGCTCCCACCCCTACTGGCTGAGTCCCCCACTAAAGACTTTAGCCCCTGAACTTCCGGGCAGAGAGGTTTTCGCAGCTTTGGGAAACCCTGCAGGGCGCTGTCTCTGATCACGGCGACTTGGAGCCTCCGCCCTAGCACTGCTGAAGTCACAAGGGGGCCAAAGGGACAGGCCACAGGGCACCGCCCACTCCAAGCCACCCTCGCCTCCCGCCCGCATCAGCCGGGCCAGCCTCCTGTTCCTACCCTTGTCCCGACAGCCTCCCGGCGGACCCTTTAAAATCTGAGCCGGAGCGTGTGGCTCTCTGCCACCTGGTGGCCTCCAGGGCTCCCCCTGTCCTCCGGAGTAAAAGGCCAGGTGCTCCCAGTTAACCCTGAGGCCCTTCCTGGTCTGGCCCTTGTGACCTCTGCCCCCCTCACCCAGCTTCACCCTCCAGGCCAGTCGAGTGGCCTCTGCCCTGGCCTCGGTCATGGCCTGGCACCTCTTCCCCGAGCCAGCCCAGCCTCGCTCCTTCAGCAACACCGCGCCTCGGCTCCAATGGCACCTTCCCCGTGGGGCCTTGTCTGACGGTCTTGTTTAAGATAGCCACTGACACCTGGGTTATATATGTCTCCTACTTTTCCCCTCTGTTGTTTATTGTCTGTCACACTGCGTGAGAACAGGCACCCCGCAAGGGATCTGCCGATGGATCTCGAGAGCCACACATAGTGCCTGGCACGTGGTAGGTGCTCAGCACACGTTTGTGGCGTGACACAGAGTCTGCGCATTCAGACACAACCTTTTCTGACGCCCCCAGCCCAGCGGGGCTCTGGGGCACGCCTCCTGGGGCTGCAGCCCTTGTCGGGGGCTGACAGGAAGCGATGCTTCCTGAAGACACATTTTGAGGGACACAGAGGGACAGGCAGCGCGAGGCAGGTGAGACCTGCTAGGCTCATGGCTCATTCCTGCACAGCAGCTGCAGGACGGAGGACAGGTGAGGCACCCGAGCCCGACCTCGGCACCTGAGCCTTGCATCAGCATCGCTCGCAGCTCCAAGGCCTGCCTGGGTGCTCCGGGGACGGGGGCAATGTGGGGCACCCCTTCCTGTAGGTGCCAGAGGAGGCGCTGCTGTCTGGGCCCTTTGACCTTTCAACTCTTGACTACCCCACCCCGACGTCAGGGGCCCACAGGGGTCATGGGCTGCTAAGGGTCCTCTGTGGGTCACCCTCACCTCTCCTGGGGGGTGGTGTCCAGTACCTGGGCCCTGAGGCCTGATGGACCTGGGTTCAAATTCCAGATCACCATTCCCATCTCGGTAAATCACTGGACCTCTCAGAGCCTCGGTCTCTTCCTCTGTAAAATGGGCATCACGTTGCTCATTCCAAAGAGCTGTTCTGAGCTTTAAGGACTGAACACACCCCGTGTCAAGCGCATAGCGGAAGTTCCACAGACGCCAGTTCCCTCCACCGTCCGCCCCCATCTCGCTGCTCACCTTGCTCCACAGCCTCCTCAACAAGCTTCTCGAACAAACGCAGGGCTCTCCGGTCAACGACCATGGAGACGCCCTTCCCCAGTGCCTGCAGGAAGGCGGCCAGAGCGAGGGCCCCTGGCGGGCCGTCTGTCTCCTCCGGGGGCTCGTGGTTGAAATGCGTGGGGAACCCGGTGGTGATGAGCACCGAGCGGGCGTGGGACAGCGACAGCGAGGCCCTTAGCAGCTCGTCTTTGCAGAGCAGGTGCCCGATGCCCCGGTTGCCTAAAATTACACACAAGATCAAAATCACAAAATAGCGTCACTGTGTTTCAAGTAGAAACTTAGGCAAACAGTGGCTTGGCCTTTTGTCTGTTCCAGAGGTGGATTTGAGGGACGTGCCCGAGACTGGTACTGGTTCACCAGGATGTATTCTCTTCCCCTGCCCTAGTCCTGAAGATAGCTGGGCCAGGGGCCCAGGGGGCCAGGAGGCCAGGTTCTGTCTGGGTAAGGATTATAGGGTGGTTGAGAGGGAATAAGAGCAGGGATGATGTGCGCCACCTGCTGGCCACGTACCTCCCATGCACTCCTCCAAGCTCTTCCCTTCCTGAGGGCTGGGATGTTGACAACTGGGGACCCCTGTGGGTCTCATGGTTTGATGGCAGAGCTGCTGGGTCCCTGCATGAGGGGGTACAGCAGGTCTGCCTTCCTGCTGAAGTAGAACAGTCACCCCGGAAGTCCCACCCTGGACTGCCGTGTGAGAGGCATATACTTCTATTTAATTTGAGCAAAGCATCTTGGGGTTTACAATAGCAAACCCAAATACAAGGAACATGGAAGGAGGAAGGGGCGCAGTACTGTCTTAGTTGGGGATCCCCCCAAAGGAAGACCCTAAGACAAGGGCTTGGGTGCAGGCCCTTTCGTGGAAAGGGAGCCCAAGAAACGAGTCGGGAGGGAGAGAAGCCACTGAAGGGTGTGTGAGCGAGCAGATGCTCGCCGAAGGCCCCTGGGCTCGGTCCCGCTTGAGACCCTGTGAGAGGTGGCGAGGAGCGCCCCCGAGGGCTGTCCCTCCCGGGACAGGGAGACGGGGCACTCATGCACTGGCTCCTGTGCCCTACCTACCAGGGGAAGGCTGCCCTTCAGGACACCGACGCCCCTGCCTCTGCTGGGCTGTGCCTGCTCCGGCGCAGGGGCAGAGAGACGAGGGTGGGAGCTGTTGTTCTGGGCGCCACCCACTGCAGCTGGGCTCTGGGCAGGGCCCCACCAGCATCCGCCACAGCTGCCCCCAGTGGCTGCCACGCCGGTCCCAGCCGGGCAGCACAGCCTTCCGACTCTTGTCACATACCATTGTGCCTTTGTCTACACTCAGGTCGCCTTGGAGCCTATCTGTGCCGTGGGAAGGCAGGACGTGACTCAGAACTTCCACGCTGGCTGTGGCTAAAGTGCGAGGTGGGCCTAGGGGACGTGAGAGGATGTCAGCTTGCATCTGAGGTGCCTGCGGGCTACGAAGGTGAACAGGGTTTGAATTCCTGTTACGGAGGAAAAGCTCCCAGTTTAGAACCTGGGAACTTACATTCAAGTCCAAGCGTTGGCACGTCGTGGCTGTGTGACCTTGGCCTTGTCCTGGCTCACTCTGAGCCTCAGTTTTCCCACGTGGAGCATGGGGGCGGCCCAGGGGGAGGGGGGCTTTGGGAAAATGGCCCCACGTGCCCTGCCAGTGGGAGTGGGGACGAGAACACTTGTCTAGAGGGTGGTTTGGAGCTGGGGCTTGGACCCTGGAGCCAGCAGTCCCTTCTGGGGACGTGTCCTAATGAAGGGCTGGTGGGCATGTGGCAGGCATGGTCAGGAGGGTGTTCACCGCAGCATTGCTTACGGTGTCAAACAGGGCAGTCACAACGTCGGTGCGACATTTGTAAAACGGAATTCTATGCAAAGAAAAGATTGTTGTAGAAGACTAACAACACAGGAAAAAGTTTGCAGCGTATGAAAAAGTTGTAAAAGTCAGGTTCTGAAAGTCAGGCTGTGAGTACGCAAAACACAGAGTTAATGAAGCTGTTGCAATAATCACAGCCTGCCCATCTTTTCTCCGGGAACAGCCAAATGCCTGCTTTGCCCGCCCCTGTATATTGTTTTTGTTTGTTTCAGCCTTACAGTTCCAAGACCAGAGAAAAAGGCTCTAAGGGCAAACATGACATTGCAAAATTAACAATGGTTAGTTGGGGTGGGATACTGGTCATTTTTATTGCCTCCTTCCTTTTTCATATATTTATACAATGAACACAAGTTGCTGTTGATAAAGGGGGAGAAAAGTAATATTTTGAAAGAAAACAACTGGACTGTAAGCTATTTCGTAGGATGTGAGCACCCCAAAGGGAAAGGAGGAGAGAGAGAACTCTCAGTGTTAATGCGGCCCGTCCGTTTGCATTTGCGGTGATTTTATTAGTTGTTTATTAGTCGTGCAAACACCGTTATTAGAAACCTTGTATTCCTTTATGGTCTCCAGGCACCTCAAATGCAAGCCAGCGTCCTCTCAAAGATGACTGAGTGGCCCTATTATTATGCCCACTGAGTAAGGCTCAGTCTGCTGCCATTCATCTTGTATCTGCCGTTTAATGCAGTGGGACTCGGGAGCATCTGCTGTTCTGGAGGATTAACAATGTTTCTTTATGGACGATATTGGCGCGCCCAGACAGTCATAAATCTGCCCGCCGAGCCTCCGCTGGGGCCCCAGAGCGGGTGCTGTGGCTGGCCTCCCGGGTCATTTTCATTAAGCTGCGGGGCTCTGCCTCCACAGTAACTTCACTTCATACTTCACAGTTGCTTTTTTAAAAGTCTGAGCTCATGGCAGAGTCAATAACTCATCTTCCATGGTCCTTGTGCTGAGTGGGAGAGAGTCAGTGTGGGTAAGAATGCTGGTGAGAAAGTATCACAGAATTTTTTTTAAATGTCCGCCAAGGAGACCCACTATGTGAGAGACTCTAGGCGTGCACCAAGCTATGAGCACTGACCTCTGTGTCTGCGTTTGTCCTAAAATGTGCATCTGGGGGGCAGGGGGGGTCCCACATTTACTCCGCGTCTATATGTTTAGGAAATCACATTCCCTGCAGAATGATTGGATGAATGATTGAACGAACGAATGAATGAATGAGCAAATGAAAGACCTAACAAACAAACAAACAAACAAAAAGCTCTGCCCTCTGGTTTCACAGGGACCTCGGTTACTGCAGACCCTTCTGTGACTTGGGGGGGGCAGCCTGGGGGGCAGTCCCGGGTCCAGGGAAAGATCAGACGTTTTCCAGGCTGGTCGGCACAGTCCGATCCTGGGCCGCAGCGCCGGCCAGCACAGAAGGGCACCCAGCCTGTCTGCTTGGTGGCTCCATTTGGGTGCTGTTCTCTACCTCAGCGTCACTGTCACCTACTCTGCCTGGGTCTCCGGAGTATTGCCTGGACGGTCACCCTCCCCAGGTGGGTCTCACGCCCCTGCTCTCCACAGGGGCCCCACCACCGTCGGTCCAGGTATCTGTCTGCTCGGGAAACGGTTGTCAGGTGGGCCAGCAGGGGGCCACGGGCACCTCCTCCAGACAAAGTGGGAAAACAGCCGGCGTCTGGAAGCACAGCCCGTGGGAAGGGGCAGCAGAGGGGTGGGGTGGGAGTTGGGAGAGGCTGGAGCCTGCATACCTGCAGGGGACAGACTGGGACAGACCACTCGGACTCCAGCCCAATGCAGCCAGCTCTGCTGACCGTGGGCTGGGGGCAGTGGGTGTGGTTCACGCGCTGCCCAACCATCCGCTCCCGTGTACTAGGGGTGGGGTTTCGGGCACGTCTCTTAATCTTACACACCTTGGTTTCTTCACCTGTTAAAGGAAGTTAGTAACAGCTGCCTCGTAGGGGTATTGGGAGAATTTAATAAGATGAAACGTGGAAGTGTTTTTAGCACATGCCTGGCCCAGATTAAGTCAGTAGATAATAGCTAGTATTCCTATTACCTATCAAAACCCTGAGAGGGTGGTATACATGTTATGACTCTTGTTATACTGGTAAGGAAACTGAGGTGCAGAGTGGCCATGAAGTGGACACCATCCTTCTCTGTGAGCCTCTATCAGGAAAAAAAAAAAAAACCACACACAAAAAATACCCCTCAAATCACCCGTGCAACATGGCGCCCTCTGCTGGCCACCTTGAAATAGGAATTCGGCTTTTTAATAAAGATACTCCAGGAAGTTGAAAACCCCTCAACCAGCTTTCAGCAAACCTCATCCTTGTCCTTGTTGGAACCAGCAGACCTCGGGGTCCCACTAGCCTGTCCCTGTCTACAAAGCCGGAGGCTTACAAGCCACAGAAGGGCTGTTTACTCTGAGGTGCCCTTGCAGGGTACATGTTGGCTGCAAACTGTGTTGAGGCAAACAGCTCAGGCCTGCCCCACCACGACCCCCCAGGAGTGCAAGCCAGGCCCCCACCCCCGCCCCTGCCGCCTGGTACAAGAATTCTGTTCTCTGCCCAACCCCAGGGCAACGGCACAACAGGGGAGGCTTGGGGCCATCGTGGGTGCATGGGTGATGTTTGAACGGTGGTCCCTGACTGCCCGGGAAGCAGGCTCCCTTCTTCTCCTCTTGCCAACTCCAGTTCAGTCCGGCGATACACCTGGAGACCACGCTCACCTCCCAAACTCCCTCGCATGTTTAGGGCTGAACGTTTTGGAAAAAAAATAAACCAAAAATCACCCATAATTCCTCTACCCACAGATCACCCCCCTCGGTATTTTGGGGCATGCACTTCTAGTCCTTTTGGGCGTCATGTACAGTATAAGCATTTTTAAAAACCGTGCCGTAAATGCGATCTTATGCTGCCTCTTTCACTGCACGTCACGTCAGTGGTGAATTCCTCCAGGCCACACACGAAGCCTTGCCCCTTACCTGGGTCTATGGCAATTACAGTCTCCAGTTCTCTGATCTTCCGAGCCGCTGAAGCTGATGTGATGCTGTAGTGCAAAGGATCTTGGGAAATGCAGTGGACCTCTGGAATCCTGTCCGCGGTGAGGCAACCGGCCGGAGCCTCCTTGTCCCGCAGGTCAGTCATGACTGCGCAACCCGGGGCGCTGGTGAAAGCCAGCGGGGTCTCTAAAACACAGAGCAAGCGGGGCTGAGCCCACCCCACACCATCCAACCCAGTCCCTCCTGGTCTAGCCCACCACTGACGGGCAGGAAGGCGCCCTGCGCCGCTCTGCCACCCGCACCCCTTACACCGGTGGTTGGCACCATGTGCTGGCTGATGGCTAAGTCAGGTTCCACGGAAACAGGTGCCTCCGATTTTCAGGAGAGCGGAGATGAGGTGAGTGTGAGAGAAGAGGGGGCAGGCAGAGCCACGGCGGTCGTTGGGTCCCGAGGAGGTCCCATCGGTGGAATCCCACGGCCATCGGGAGGTGCTGCCTGAACTCTCCCAAGCGTGAAGCTCTCTTGCTTCACTTTGCAGCGTTAGATTTGCTGACACACAGTTCTTTCTGGGTGTAGCTTCTGTTGTTCTCACAGCCCTTGTATTTTGCTTTGGTGTATGCTAATTTTGTTCTTTTAAAAAAAAACTCCCCCCTGCTCGATGACGGGCTGCATGAGGCAGTCTGGCAGAGGTATTAAAAACACGACTGTCGCATGGCAAACACCCTGAGTCTGGGATGTGCCTTTATTCTCTCTAAACCTGCCCCCTCAGCTGTGGAAGAGCGGTAGTGGCCTCCTGTGCTTGTCGGAACCGAACTGGAGGATGCACCTGAAAGTGTGCAGAGAGGCGCCCGGTGCGGCGCAAGCCCTCGGTGTGTGGCGGTTTGCTTCCTGAACCGGGCACCGTGTCTTGCCCGGTCTGTGTCCTTGTGCCTGGCCCATTCGGTGCTTCGTTCTGACTAGGCTTAGCTTACACCTTCTGCTTTCCTCAGTGTCTTTTTCTCCCGAGTGCTCTAACCCCACTCGGCTGCGTGTTCCCGGAGATGAGGGACCCTGGCCTGTTCATCTCAGGATCCCACGTAGTGCCTTACGTATACATAACAAACGCTCAGGAGGTGCAGGTGTGAACTGAGCAAATAACGTCTTGGAGTTCACAGAAAACGGTAAAATGCCTCAGATCCAACAGAAAGCCAAAGTCAGCCAGCACTTCGGAAGGAAAACCTGCTGATGGAGGCACGAATCACTCTCGCTTAACTTTTAGACACGGTGTGTAAGGAGAGGAACTAGAGATTTCGATGAACACAGTCACTGTTTCTCTGGGTGTCGGGCAGCACCCGAAATGGGTCCCTGAAGAGCCAGGCCGATGTCAGAGCTGTCGCCACGGGGCGTGGCTCTGTCGTGTGGTGGCCTGGCCTGTCGCCGCCTCTGCTTTCAAAGCCACACCGACCTCCAAAGTGTCTCAAGAGGTCAATCTAAATATTGGCCGCTAGGCAACAAGCCTTCTGCGGAGAGAAATGTATCTGGGCAAGACGGATGGGACCTGAAGGACCAGTGGCTCTGGGGGACCCCTCCTGGGGTGGAGACAGAGTCCAGGGACCTCTTTGCTGCGGGCTGCGGGTCTCTGCTACGTGACGCGACCCTTTATATCGATGCCTTGGATAGGCCCGCCCTTCCCAGAAGTACAGACCCTGCGGTTCCACCCTAGTCACAGTGGTGCTCCCCGCCCCCCCCCACCCACCGCCCCAAAGCCCAGACGTACTGCAGCTGCTGACGGCTTCGAGGCTGGTCAGGGGAGAGGGCCAGAACACGGGGATATCCCCCGGCCGACACACCTCGGGATCCCCGTAGTCAGGTTTGGAGAGGTCTTTGATCCCCAGCAGTTCTGCAGACAGAAAAGGAAAATGAGTCCCGCCAGGCCCTGCGCTGGCAGGTACCGTCTAAGCTGAACGTTTACGGTTCTCTCCCCAGGAGGGGCTCTAGCCCTAGGGCTGCTGTGAATGGGGCGGAGGAGGATGGGCAGGAGCAGAGGAATCGGGCTGAACAACCCAGGATGCTCGCCGGCTGCGAGGCCACCTGGGGTGATGGGGAGCCCCAGCGCCCCGCTGCGGCCGCTGCTGGGGTCTGGGCGCCCTGGGCCCCACGCCTTCCTCGTGCAGATCGCTAACGCTGCCGCCCGTGTTCGTGAGTTTATCTCAGTACAGACTGAGTCACATGTCCCAGACCCAAACTCAGTCACCAGACCAGCAGCAGCGTCCCCGCCCCTGGCCAGCCACCGGGCGCTGCTCACAGGACAGCAAAGAGAAAAGGTGTCATTCATGAGAAAAAAAACCGGCAGGTGCTTTGCTCTGGGCGGTCCTGAGATCATGTTCAGTGAGGAAGGGGGCGGGGGCTGGTTGTATTTTTACAGAATGCTATGCTTTGTCTGATTTCGTCTGTTCCACAGCTAAGCAAGTTCAATTACACTCAGCGCTCACTCACACCCAAGGCCCAACCCTGGGCTCCCACCAGGCCCTGGGAGAGCCCCCAGGAGGCCTGGACCGTGTCCACGCTTGGGTCTGCTCACTCACTCTCAGCCTGCTTTTCCTCAGATTGAGTTCAGATGCCGGGGATCAGTGGGCTTCAGTCCACGTTAACCTTGGGAACAAAGCCGTGTCCCACCCAAACATGCCACAGAGCCCGGATTAGAGGCCGCTCTGAGCTCAGATCTCAAGACAGATGGCTCTGCTGCCTCGTTCCAGCACCTGCTCCCCGGCCCCAGTTCACCTGGCGTTCACAGGAGCTCTTCACTGTTCTGCTAGGGGCAGCAACCTTCAAACCTGAGGGCACCTGGGAGCCCAGCACGGTTCACGCAGCCGCGGGAGGGCAAGCTGGCGGAGCTCCGGAACACCCCATGTTCCCGTCTCCTTGAGCCCAAGGCCAAGAGCAGCTGTAGGCCATGAACAAGCGCGGGCACTGACCTGGGTCGCCGATGTGAACCGGTTGTGCCTGCACACCCCCCGCGGAGCAACTGGCCTGCACCAGCCTTTTCAGCTCATCCTTGGGGACGGGCCTCATGGTGACCAGCAGAGGGCAGGAAAAGCCAGCGACGGTGACACAAGGCACAGCTGTCTGCCAAGAAATGGAGTGAAAGAAATGTTAAAACATAGACTCGGCCCAGATCAGAGCCCTGAGAACCAAGAGTTCCAGGCAGTGAGTGGAGTAGGTCGGAGGTCCCGGTGGCTCTCACAAAACATGTCTTCGACTCTCATGTGACAGCGAGGAGGACGCTTGCTGGACATCGTTGGTCTAATGCAGAGAATCCTAACTCTGTGCACGCCGTGGGCCCCTGGGGTGGTCGGGTGCAGCTGCGGAGCCCCGTCAAAGTGACGCTTCTAACCACGTGAAGGGGGTGCGTGGGCTTACAAAGGAAACGGCTGCAAAGGCAGCTGTCAAAGTGTGAAGACACGTGGTGCACACAGCCCTACGTACGACTCTTCGTGAACGGGTTAAGGAACGAGACGACAGAGCCACCTGCGCGATCTCGCTGTCAGGACCGACACGCAGGATATTTCTGAGGAACCTGGAAGAACCGTGGTGTGACAGGAGGATAATCTGGGGTTCCTTCGGGCAGCCACAGAGTCGCAGGGTCAGCGGATGCGGCGGCAGTTCGCCGCCGACCTTCATCGTCGAAGGAAATGCTCAGTGTCACTTTGAGGCTGTGAAAATGGAAATGTGATTTTTCTCTCCACCCAAGTTCGTGGACCCTCTGAATTTCCTCCGTGGACCTCAGTGGCCAGCAGACCCCATGTGCGCCCTCTGGGGGAAGCGGGGCGGAGGGACCCAAGGAGGGGGAGGCACCCGGGGTCCTGGGCCTCCTGGGCCCACACAGGATGGAGGCCTGCGCCCCCCGGGCCCCACTGGGCCCTGCCTCCCCGGTCTCAGCAGAAGCCGCCCAGGATGACCTGTGTGACTTTCCGGTCCCTGCAGTGGGGCTTAGGGAAGATTCCGGACCTGGCCCAGAGGATGGTCTGCTGGGGCGGCTTTGGTGCCGCCCGAAGGGCTTGCTGTCAGCGCCCCGGCCACAGCCAGGTGCAGCCTTGGCGCACCTGCCAGTTTGGCATCGGGATAACAACCCTTGGGAGGGTGCACATGCCAGGGACACTCTCAGGGGACAGGCAGCGGTCCCCGAACCTGAGGCGCCTCCTTCATCCCTTTAAAGCTGTCACCTGACTCCCAGATGGCTGCCTGGCGTTCCTCCCAGGAGCCCAGGGGCAGAGGTGTCCGCCTTAAACTGAAAGCTATTCACTTGGGAGCCACCGGGGGCAGCGCTGTGCTGTGGAAAACCCGTGGCTCCACTGAACCTGTGAGGTGAAGAGCACCTCTGTGCAAGCACCTGCTGATGGCCACAACTCCACTGGCGACGTTTTACAGATGCAGGCCAGGAGTCTGAGTTCCAGTCTGGCTGTGGGGCCTGGGAAAGTCCTCTTCTCCCTCTAGGGGCCACAGGTACCTCGTCTAAAATGAAGGGCCGTGCATGGTGGGCCCTGAGGCCCCCCGAGCTCTCACCTGCCACGCTGCGGTGTGCTCCAGGCAGGACCCTGCCCCGGAAGCTGCCGGCAGCTGGGGCTCTGCCTACCTGCCTGATATACACGCTGATAGATGGGGATTCTGTGAATGTTCGCCCCTCCCTCCCTTCAAGATATCCACTGACTTCACACGTGAGAAAGCCACGCAGGCACCTAGTTCACACGTGAAAAGCAGCTCACACCGTGGGCAACCTTGCTTCTCATCAGAGAGGCAGCTCGGGCCTCCCTGGCAGGAGCCCAAGCCTGTGAACCCCCATCAAGTCCCGGAGCCCGGAATGAAATCTCCAACCTGGTTCATCCATCAGGAAACTCGGAGCAGGCCACAGACACGGGCTGACCCTCACTCGACCCCGCCAGTGATCGGGGGGACTTCCCACCCTCACATGAGTGTCCTGGAAGGGGGCGGGGGCAGGGGGCCGAGGGACTCCGGTTCTGTCCCCGTGACAAACAGTGGCTGGAATGAGGCCTCTGAGGCACCACAGGGAGGCAGGTCCCAGGAGAGGTGACCACCCTGCGACGGTGACCACTAGAGGCCACCTCTGGCCAAGAACACGAGCCAGCTTCCCTGACAGAGGCGTACCCCAGTGGCTCACGGCCCGGCCGGGGCACTGCCACTGACCCTGGGGCACGGACCCCACTGGGCACACTCTCCCCAATATCGGGAAGTTCGAGCCATGGAAGGTTTTAAAAAATCTCCCTGAGATCCCCTCGGTTAAAGGAGCCGCCCGAATGCCTGATGGGCTATTTGCACAGCTGCAGCTATCGGTCCATAAGGGCTCATTCCCAAGGCCACGTGGGGTGCTCACAGCAGGGTGCTCACAATAGTCCCCAGGGTGGGCCGCTGGCCCCATTTTCCAGATGCGGAGACAAGCTCGGAGAGGTCCCAAGCTGCACAGCTAGAGCAGCGGCCGAGCTGGGGCCAGAGCCTGGGTGTCCAGCCCCCTCAGCCACTGCTCTCCCCCCACCTCCCCGGAAAACACAGGGCGACCCACGTTTTCACGTCACTCCACCCCCGTGGACTGTGTTCCTACCTTGTATGCAGCCCCGTGGCCGTGGCCTGCTGGATCTCTTCTGGGGAGCCCCCCTTTCTCCAAGGCCCCTTCCACGGAGAAGCTGTAGTCCAGGAAGAAGGTCACCATGTCCTTGAGCTGCTCCGAGTGCCCCTCCAGCGAGGTCAGGCTGCCCGTGCAGGCACCGAACTCGTACTTACGGAACTGGGGACGGTCTGTCCTGGGGACACAAGGGGAAGTTCACAGAAGCCCCGGGTCAGTGTGGCCCTTGACCAGGGGTTCTTAAGAAAGGACCAGGGAGGGCATCAAGTCCAGGAACATGTGTAAAGGACCCAGGGGCAAAGACAATGGAGGAGACAGTTGCATGGGGGCGGTGGGGGGTGGGTAGGGCAGGGGAGAGTAATAGGGGGAAAATGGGGACAACTGTAACGGAACAATGATTAAAAAGACAGGAAGAGGGAGAGAGAGAAGGACGTCCGGAGCTGAAATTTCGGGCACTGGTGCCGAGGTGGGCACGTGGCTCTGGGCACGGGGGGCCACGCTGGCAGCCTTTGAATCTCAGTAGATCGGAAACTATCAAATCAGTGTGTATATCGTGTAGTCCCACCCTCACCCTGTCATGGTTCCTGTAAGTTCAACCAGGGGCCAAGCAAACCAGCAAGAAACAAAGGTGTCCTCTCTGCCGGCGAGGCAGGGCCCGCAGACCAAGGGGACAGAGGCCACGAGTCTCAAGGAAGCACTCAGTGCTGGCAGCGGTGAGGCCACCTCCTTCCTCAGAGAAACTCTTCTGCAGGGGTGCAGCACTTTGGTACGAGCCTGCGGTGCGTTTGCCCTGAAGCCATCTGCTGAGCCGCCCCCCCCACCCTGTGCTGGGCGCAGGTGTGCTAATGGGCCCCAGTGACGGAGAAGACACGGCCCTTAAGAAGCTGGAAGTCCTCCGTGGGCAGGTGGGACTCCATCGCAATCGGTCCTTGCAGGACGGAGCCGTGAGTGTTCACAGTCCAGGTGGGGAGGGAGGTAGGGACGGGGGAGACCATCCTCTCCCGCAGAGGGGAGGTGTGGGAGTTGGGTCCTGAAGTGTGAAGAGGAGCTCACCAGCTGACCAGGGAGGAGGGTGCAGCATCGGCTCCAGGGGTCCCCGAGCAGGTAGTGTGGTGGGTGCTCGGGAAAAGGTAATGAGCTGCTCAGCCCAGGTGGGGTCTCTGAAGGACCCTCCCACCTCCGGAGTCCTCAGAATGATAACAGAGTGTACTCTCTGAGGGGAGGGTTGGGGGTGACCCACTCGGGGGCCAGGTCACTGCGGGTCTCGCTAGGAGGCTAAGCTGTCAGCTGCGGGAGGGCTCGGATAACGTGAACGTGGGAGTCACATGACCAGCTGTGGCGTTAGGGAAGTCTCTCCAGCGGGACAGCAGGAGAGGGGTAGCGTGGGAGGAGGAGGGGGTGCGAGTGGCGGAGGAGACCGGTCCCAGCATACTGCGGGGGAGGCGTGGGAAGGTGGGCACCTGAGTGGGGGGTGTGGGAGAAACACGGCCCCCTGAAGCGCCCACACGGAAGCGGCCCCCGTTGATGGCTGCATTCAAAGTCTGGGGGGTGCAGCCCGCAGCGTTAGCCGTGCAAGCGCGTGCATGTCCTTCCCCAGCCTGTGCCGACAGGTGTCTGGCTGTGGTCAGGGGGCGTCAGTGGGATTTCTCCAGGGCTGGGCTGTTTTGGTGACCCCAGAGATTTTACCTGGCCCAGGTGATAGAGGTAAGAATGGGGACGGGACGGGGGGAGGGCAGCTCCTTCACGAGCAACAGTCCCAAGCGAGGCTCTGTGCCAGGCACCGTGGGGTCCCGAGGCCAGAGGCCCCTGGCGACAGAGACACCTGGCTGTAGCATCTGGCCACTGCCGACCTCTAACCCCAGGAACCCACAAGCTTTACCTGGAGTCTGGGACAGCGCCCAGGGCCGGCGATGCCCACCCGCCTGGCTCGCTTCGGCCCAGCAGGGGCAGAGGGCCGCTGTTGGTCTGGCAGAACTTTTCAAAGTCCGGGGCGAGGGACTTGTGCAGGAGCACCACGCCGGCCGGCCGCCGCCCTGGGGCTGGGGAGAGGAAGATCACACGCGGTCAGCTGTTCCCTGGTGGAGCCCTCTTAACGCAACTTTTCACACACACACACACACACACACACACACACGGAAAAATGCCCGTCCGTGTGCAGCTTGCCGAATTTTCAGAACACGAACACCCCCTCCCTGTAACCAGCACTCAGGTCGAGAAACAACACACTATGAACATCCCAGAAACCCCCCACTCCTCCGGCAGTAACCGCACAGCCCTCCCCCCGCAAGGGCAGCCACGACCCTCACCGCTACCATCACAGGTCACTCCCGCCTGTGTTTCCCATGATGGAACCATACAGTGTGAGTCTTTTGCGTTTAGTGGCTCTCCTTCAATAACATGTTTGGGAGAACCGTCCGTGTTTTTGTGCGTGGGTTCAGGCCCATTGCTGTGTGGCATAGTCATTACCACAGGGCACTGACGCCCTGAATGGCAGAAGGGCACTTGAGTGGCTTCCAGTATGGCGCTGGCAATGGGGCTGCCACGAACATTTTAGTACGTGCATGTGGGGGTCCACATTCCTGTTTGGCATACACCTCGGGTTGCAGGGTGCGTACATGGTCAGCTTTGATGCACACTGCTTGCTAAGCAGTGTCCAGCGTGGTTATAATTTCACATCCCCACGCACCGGTGGCGTGTGAGGTCTCGGTCACACAGTGCAAGGTCTCTCCCATCTTTGGCACCGCTGCCCTTTCTCACTCCAGCCATCCCAGCAGGTGTGTGGAGGCGTCGCACAGAGGTTTCCCTCTGCACCACCAAGGTGACCAACGTGGGTGCCTTTCCATAGGCTTCCTTAGCCACATGGGCGCCCTTTCTAGGAAAGAGACCACCATGTGTTTTGTTTGGGAAGACCCTTCACTGAGCAGGCTCACAGAATCCTTGACTCTCCCTCCAAAGACACAGTCTTAGCGGGGCTATAGAGGGAGACCCCCGCGTGCGTGCCGTGACCCCTCCAGTGGCAACCAGCCCTCCTCTAGGATGAGGGGTCTGAACCCTGACTCTGCCTCCAACCAGCAGTGCGACCCTGGGCCCTGTGTCCCCGAGGCTGACGGGGCACAGGTCTGGGAGCTCCCTCCTGCGGGCAGGTTACCTGACAGGCAGGTGTTCACAGCCAGCGGTTGGAGCTGTACTCACTCCGCGGACCCTTGTACAGACATGTAAAGTTACGGTGCGGAAGAAATATTTAATGCTAATACGAGATGTTTGGGCCGGACCAGTAACAGCACAATGCTAGGGAACAAAAACAGTGGGTTCAGTGTGTTCCCCTTTATACGGAATCGATGAAAGAAAGAACTAAGGGAAATCTATCCACATGTTAACCACGGTTATTTCCAGGTGACCAGACTGGGTGATTTTAATCTTCTTGGGACTTGTCTCAGTATTCTAAAACTTATGCAATAAATAGGAGTCATTCAATCACTGGAGAAAAACACATTTGAACAGTTATGTTGCAAACAACGGATATTTCCTTTAAAAAGACCACCCCACGGGATTGCACATGGACGCTCTTTTGGAGGAATGACCTTGGGCGCAGTCCTTCTAAAGGCCAGGTTCGCTCTGTCAACACACGGACAGTTCTCTTCTGCAGTAACATTGTCAGCAAGCACTTTGTGTCCGTGCCAGGCTCTCTGCGGTGAGTAACTAACTTATCTGTGTTATCTTCTGCCCTTGACACGTGAGGAGAGCAAGCGGGTGCGTGGCGCAGCCGGGGTGCAGACCCGAGACAGGCGGCCCGTGAGTCCCTCTCACGTCACCACGGGGCTGTGGGCAGGAGACCTCGCTGGGCTGGGTGCACCGCCACCTCCAGCGCCTTCCTCCTCGGAGACGACGGTGAAGAGCAGCAGAGGCTGCCGTCTGCAGGAAACAGCCTTGGACGGCTCTTGCTCTCACGGCCTGGAATCCGTGACCTCAAACCTGCAGAGCCGGCCAAGGATATGGACAGACTTCCAAAATGAGGACACGCTTGCCCCTGCCAGCTGCTGAAAGCCGGAGGCGCCGACGGTGTGTCTCTGCAGCAAGCCCAGCGTGCCTCTGAAAATAACCTGGCGGGGGGGCGGAGGCGGAAGGAGCTCTGCCAGCCCCGAGGCCCCGAGTTCGCTGGCCAGCCCCCTCCGCCCTCCAGAGCCCTGTGGGAGAGCCCACTGGATTCTTAATGCTGTTAACCCGAGAGGAGTTATGTGCACACAGCTGCCCTGTTTCTTTTCTAACTGAACGGACCTCTTGGTCCTGTTCGCTTGGTTCTGTTCGTCTCCACTCTGGTCAGAGACAGCCCCTGAGTTGTCCCTGTTGGTGACAGCACACGGAGCAGAGGGCCGCGTGGCGTCTTTCTGGAAGGGGTGGCAGACCCGAGAGGAACAGACACTCCGTGTTTGGTCTGAGGCCGCGTGCACATCCCCCGGGTTGTGGGTTTTTGCTGAGACTCGGGTCAGCGACACCTTGGGTATGTTTTCTCCTGCAGGCGCTTTGAGAACCTTGGGCGTCACTGCCGGGGGACCCCAGGGAGATGGGTGCCACCCGCAGAAGATCAGACCAGCGTCGGGGGGCTTGGTCTGAACCAGAACCAGGTTAAAATGCTACAGAAGCAGAGAGCGCTTTTCCTGGAGAGAAAGCCCCCCCAGGATCAGTGGCCGTGGGGGGTTCTCCCTGCAGCGCTGTGGTGACCGAGCTGGGCTACGCAGTGCCCGAGGCCCCGGGTGAACAGGCATTCACGCGAGTCTGGCCCGGGTGCTAGTCCCTTCTGGGAAGCTGGCCGAGCACCGGAGCGAACTGCATCTGCTTTCACTGTCTGTCTCCTGTGCAGAAGCTGGATGTCTCAGGGCTTCCTGTGCTTTGTACAGCTGGTACTTCCAAAATTTCACAACCCAGAGAATGAAATTCTCTTTTTTTTAAACGCCAAGCATCACTCACCCCCAGCCACGCTGGACATGTTTCTGATGCTTGGTTTCTTTTGTCGTATCCAACTCCTTATGACAGAGGGAGGGCAGGACTTCAGGCAGAGTGTGAAGGACATTGCATAGTCCTTTGACGGGCAGCAGAGGGTCTGGGGGAGGGGACAAAGGAAACAAATGAGAACGCACCCTGAAGGTGGCAGACACCCAGCGCGGGCTACCACCACGTCCCTGCCCCTGGTGGCCCAGAGCCGTTCCTGGCCCCGCCCCGAGGTGGGTGTTGGTGGGAGCAAGCTCTCCCTCCTCCCCCACCCCTTCGAGTCTCAGTCACTAATGAGACATTCCTAACACTTCTCTTCGCTTATGCCCTCCCCCTGGCCTGGAATGTCCTCCCTCCCTCTCAGAAGGCCTCCGCATTCCTCAGCACTGGTCCAGCATCCCCCGCCTGTGCAAAGGAGCCAACAGGTGCGCGCTGGCTTAGGCTGGGGCTCCCGGGCCCTCGGAGCAATCTTTGAGGCACTAAGTTTGACCTAAACCACAGCTGACCTGATGTTCTATTTGACTCTGAACCCTCTTTCTCTCTCCCTGGGAGACCCCAAGCGCCTAGGCCTCTTCCACGGGCCTCAGAGCACATGGTACACAACAGAAGTACTTATGCCCAAACGAACAAATGGATGAATGCCACATTCAATCACAAAGGCAATAGCAGGCTGAACTTCCTGTCCACACGTGACTTCTATTGTTTAGACTTAGGTCCCTGGGAGGCAGAGAGTTTATTTCTTCTTTATGCCCTCTCACTGCCGCTACTCCGGGCACGGAGTCTTACACAGACTTTTGGGGAATGAATAAATAAATACAAGGGTGTGGCAAAAGTGGGTTTACCGTTGTGAGTACCCAAAACACAGTTTATGCTCATGTTGTTATTTATTGATTATTGTATCATTTCTTTGTATTACAACTGTAAACCTACTTTTGCTCACCCCTGTATTGTAGATTTTTCAAGTACAGAGCTGGTCTCGAAGTTCTAGGAAATTACATTTAGAAGGGAATTCTATAAGTTGACTTCTTATATTCTAGAACGAGAGGTTTCAATGCACTAGCGAAATCCAGGTCACACTGTGTTGGCCTCCAAGGCACAGACCATGTCTTCTTCATCAAAATAGGCCCTGTGCCTAGCACAGCGGCTGGCACAAAAGTGGGAATTCAGTGAGCGTTTGTTGAATGACTGGCTGACCGTAGAATGGATGGAAGAACAATTCAAAGGCAGTGCCCACAGGGAGGCTCTGGACAGGCCTGATTTTCCATTACTCTTTCTGTCTAAAAGAGAAGAACTCAATGGGATTCTAAACCACCGATGTGTGTTTTCAACTCTAATGTCAGAGACAGAAAACTGGGTAAACCCCATGGACACTGGTTGAGATTGTATTAAATCTCTGCCAAACAAAATTTAAAAATACTGCCCTGGACGGGGCAGAAATGTATTTACGGCCGACAGCGAGTGCTTGCACAGCCACAGGCATGAAGACTGTGGGCACTCCGGGGAGAGAGCAGTGGGTGCCGCCTGGCCAGGGCAGGCGTGCAGGGAGGGTCAGGTGAGGTTGGGTCCCGTAGCCCAGGGGAAGGTGCTGAGGCTCCAGCAGCTGCTTTGGCAGGTCAAGCCGGTGCTTGCCTGCTGGGCGGACACGGCGCGCCCTGGCCTGGCAGACCTGGCTTCTTGGCCAGGCAGCCCAGGCGTTGCCCGAGATCCTGGGGATCTGTGGTTCCCACTATGGAGGGCTTAACGCCTCAGCCTGGCACTGAGCAAAGGTCAAAGTCAGAACCGTTCCATAACCATGTGGGGACAGTGGCCAGGCCCCTCTGATAATTGTCCTCACTTCATGTCTGGAGGAAAGAATGAAGTGTACCCTAAACCAATGAAACGAGAGACCCCCACAAGTACCCAGTAGCCTCCCCGCCCCCCATTATTACTGGATAGGGTGTCAGGGGCAAGCTGGGGACTGTCTTCAGATAAATTGTCGCCAGAGGACCAAACTCTGAGGATGAGTGCCTTTCCTTTCCTTTGCTTTACTTGTTATTGTTTCAATATGGTTCAAGTGGATCTAGGTCATTCCTGTAACAATGCTGTTTTCCCAGCCTGGAGGTGAATGAGCGTGGCTGCAACCCCTGCCCTGCAAAGTGCAGGCTGGGAGTGTGCCAGGCCCCCGGATGTCACCCACACACAGGCCGGGTAGGAAAGAGGGCTGAGGACCCCTTCCTCCCGGGGTCATCCCCTTGAAGGCAGAGGTCAAACAGAGCGTGAACATGGCAGCAGCCCCTCCTGTGCGGGGACCCGCTGCGTGCCGGGTCCTTCACCCCCCCTGGGGCACAGCCGTCGGTTCCTCACCACCGCCCACAAAAGTCTCCGTTAGTCCCATTATAGACCAGGGAGCTGGGGCTCAGGGAGGTCAAAGAAGTTGCCGAAAGTCCCATGACAAGTTTGTGATAGAGCCCGAATCCAAGAGCAAGTTTAAATTCACGCCTGCTTGATCTATGTATCTATCTATGTATCCATCCATCCACCCATCCACCCACCCATCCATCCATCCACCCATCCATTCAACCACCCATCCATCCAACCACCCATTCATCCATCCACTCATTCATCCATCCATCCACCCATCCATCCACCCATCCATCCACCCATCCATCCACCCATCCATCCACCCATCCATCTATCCATCTATCCACTCATCCTTGGTGTTAATAGGAATGATATCCTCAGTGAAAATAGTGGGGACCATCCCCCTGCTCCCCACAAGACGGTTCTGAGGACGCAGTCCCTTGAGTCCCTGTTTCTTTGGGGGCCGAACCTTGGACTTCTACACCCTCCACCTGGGTCTCGAGTGAACCCACACCTCAAGGTTCCGGGGCTTCTCCCACACTCTTCCCTGACACCCAGACACTCTTCCCTCCCCCTTCTGACCTTTGAGCTGATGCCCGCTTGCACCTCCCCCGCTTGTACCGGGTGCTGGGGCCTGGGGGCACCGAGGAAGGGGGCCTGAGTGTGTGCCCTAAACAGAGAGGGGCGGGGGCTTGAACGGTGCTGGAGGGCCCAGTCCCAAGCTCCCTCCGACTGCAGTCTCGCCTTTACTACGTTTCCAATCACAAAGTCCCCCGGTGGTTCGGACACAATCGGGCATCCACGCGCTCATCCAGCAGGCGTCGTGGCCCGGAGCACAGGTGCCGGGTGGACCGTCTGACCTCTAAACCCGCCCCTGCACGTAGGAGGGGATCACGAACCTCTCTGTGCTTACTTTCTCAGCTGTGAGCAGGGGCTAATGACGGCACGAACCTCCCTCAGTCGGGGTGGGCTGAGGTTAGCTAACACACGTGCGGCTCTGGGAGCTGTTCCGGCCGGGTCCACGGTCAGCGCCCAGAAACTGTGCCCGTGCTTATTGCTCCTGCCCAGCGTGCTGCCCACGCCGTGGGGAAGAGGACAGCCACAGCCCACGCTCACGGGGGTTTTCTTCCCCGGAGACAGACATGCACCACATAATTACCGTTGTGTCTGTCTCGCTGGGAGAGACGGGAAGGTAAATGCGTAACTGTAACACCGTGTGCAGAGCCCTCTGGGGCCTCGAGGACAAAGGGGGAGCTGGTGGTCCGACTAGCAGACCCCTCGGTGGGGAGGGAGGGCGCTGTGGCAGGGGGCGGCATGAACAAAGGCCGGGAGGCACGTGGGGGGCACCAGCTCCCTGTGCAGGGGAAGTATATGGTGCAGGGCAGGGGGAGGGGAGCAGCGGCTGGGAGGCTCAGCTCCGGAAGGAATTCGGATCTACCCCCAGAGCGACAGGAAATCACAAAGGTTTTCAGCGGCAGAGTGACTAGGTAAGACTTACCATGTATGAAGGTGATCCTCGCTGTAGGTGGGGGGCAGACTACAGGGCAGGAAAAGGGAAACGCTGCCAGAATGATGAGAGAGGAGGGAGGCCAGGCCAGAAGGATGAGCATCTAGAACATCTCAGTCCTGGAAATGAACCTTGCGGGACAGAGGCTGCCTCACCCCGCTGTGTGCCCTGCTGGACCAGCCGGGGCTCAGCACTCTCAGGTGGGGCCAAGGTAGGTCCCGAGAAGCAGGCACAAGGGACCACACAGATCTACGCACCAGGGAGGAAGTTCTCTGCCTCCCTTCAGTTCCGCCTAGGCAGAGCTTTGGATCTGTTTCATTTCTTGCTGTGTCCCCAGCACTTACAACAGTGCTTGGCACGTGGGAGGCACCCAATAAATGCCCACCGTGGGGAGGATGGGCAAGGCAATCGGCACCCAAAAAGGCAACCAAGAGGAGGCAACCAGGGAGGTCAGAGAGAAACCAGGTGGCTCCGAAGCCCCGTGTTGCCTGGAGGGGTTTACGGTCCTGGAGAGCGGGGAGGGCAACGCCGGAGCATCCGTCGGATTTTACACCTTGTGCTCTTCCTCCCTCCCTACAATGTCAAAGCCATCACAGCTCCGCCGGCCAATAGGCATGAGAGCACCTTGTGCATGCACAGGATGTGACCTTGAATGGTACAAGAAGTAACAGAAGACACAGTCTGTTTCCTTGACCCTCGTAGTCGAGCCAAGATCACACTATTCAGAAGCATAAGCAACTCCCGGTGTTATGAGAGTTCCTTTCTGGTTCCCGTGGCTGTCTCCCGGATCGCTCGCCCAGAGTCCCACACTTGACCATGGAAGAACAGAACACGTGGGAGTGCAGACCTTGTCTCTGTTCATTAGTTTTCGTGGTGGGAGTTGTTCAACGCTTGCCAAGACGGTTGCTGGTGGCAGCCCACATGCCACTGCGAATTTGCACAATAGATGTTGCCATAAAGGAAAAAGGCACCCTAACTGTATAAATATTTCAAAAAAACATTTTTTCATTACAGGAACAGAGACAAAAGGTTGGGCAAATGCTGGAGCTATTGTGGATTGATTAGTGTGGTTTACCTAACAGGTCGATTACAAGTGCTGGTAACGTGCAAAGCATGGTTAACGAAACAAGTATCTTCAGCCGAGGTCCGTGGAGGTTCCTTCTCCTTCCCCTTCCCAAACCATTCAGTCCTAGAGTCAGAGGGTGGAGCACAGGACGGCCCAAAGCAGGGGTCAGAGCCCAAGTGCTGAGGAGGACATCCCCAGGGGTGTCCTGTGGTGTCACAGCCTGTTCAGAGGGAGGAGGGATTCTTCAGAGGGTGGAAAGACGGCGGCCTGGCATGTGGTACATGTGTGTGTGTGTGTGTGTGTGTGTGTGTGTGCGCGCGCGCGCGGGGGGAGCAGCGTTTCCACAGTAGTGAGCACATCTAGTGCCCATATCTTGGATTCCAAATGCCATTTTCCATTAAAACAAGTCACGACTCCTCCGAGAAACGGCTGATTCCACGGCTGGGGCAAGGAAGTCGGAAGATGAACCTGGAACATCTTGTCACGTCACAAAGGGAGCGTGTGCCCAAAGAATGATGGGCCACACAGGCAGGGCACGGACTCAGGGGCCTCTCTCTGGTCAGACTGGGTGCGACGTGAGCTTCAGAGTAAGTAAGGATGGGGATGGAGTGTCATTCACCAACTAAGATGGGAACCCATACATCCGTGTGGATATAAAAAGTAATCCAAGTTAAAGAGGAATGGGATATTCCCATAGCTCCAGAGGGCCTCCCTGTAAAAAGCCTTTTAATTACAAAGAGGAAAAGACTAACTTTATCTTAGAAAAACCCGGTAGATACCACCTTAATCATGTGATCGGAGCTAGCATCATTAAGATAGAAACAAATCAAAACGGTGAGTCCCTCGGTAGGGGGTAGGCAGAGGGATGCAGGGTCGCTGCTATTCAAAGCGATGTTCCTGCCCAAGAGGCGTAACCTGCCTCTGATCGCAAGGAGACATTAGAGAAACATAACTGAGGGGCATTCTCCAGCGTTTGTCGTCTTGGAAAGTGTCAAGGTCACAAAAGTCATGGAAAGATTGAGGAGCTGCCCCTCCAGGTTGAGGGAGATTAGACAGACATGACTAAATGCAAGCGTGATTCCGAGCGGGATCCTTTCAGGATAGAAGACACCGTTGTGATAACTGGTGAAGCTTGGATGGGGTCTGAGGATTTGATGATGGTGGTAATGAACCTGAGCCAGTTTCCTGGATGTAATGGCTGTGAGGTGGTCAGGCAGGAAACCCACTGGAACATACTGGAGGACGATAGGGTGCCAGCAAAACTTATTCTCAGAGAGTTCGAGAAATAGTTTTTTTTTTTGTACACCTTGCAAATTTTCTGTCATGCTATGATCATTTCAAAATTTAAAATGATAAGGAATAAATTGTAGAAAAATGAAAGAGTAGATACACAAAGTGTGGTATATTCACCTAATGAAACGTTATTTAGCCTTTAAGAGGAAGGAAATCCTGTCGTAATGTGGAAGAACCTTGAAGACATCGTGCTAAGTGAAATAAGCCAGACACAAAGGGGCAGACGCTGAACGGCGCCCCCTAGGTGAAGTACCCAGAACAGTCAAGTTCATAGAGATGGAAAGTGGACAAGTGGGTGCCCTGGGCTAGGGACAGAGGGAGGTGGGGGGCTAGTGTTTAGAGGGGATGGGTTGTAAGTTTGAGACAATGAAGAAGTCCTGGGGTGGATGGTGAAGAGGGCCACACAGCCGTGTGGGCATCCTCACTGCTACGGGGCTGCACGCAGGAAACTGGTTAAGACAGCAAACTTCATGTCACATGAATTTTACCACAGTGAGAAGTGAAATCTACGTGAAAATACTAAACTGAGAGCGTTAAGGGGCAGTCACGTTAAATGGTTCGTTTCGGAATGCTGGTGTGAAACGCGGCACCAGAGCCGGTGTGTGTCTTGAGTTAAACACCAAACATCCTCCAACTCAGCTTCCCGTTCCGGCTCCTTGGGAAGGAGCTCGTCTTGGCACAGGAGGGTCCCTGTGTGCGCGCTTCACACGGCCCAACCGTGACTTTACGACTCCGTGAAATCTGGGGGAAACTCCTTCTGCCAAGCGTGGCTGCAAACTGTCCTTTCTTAGAAAGTTATAGACTATTTGAGAGCCTCCCTTTCAGAGCGAATCTGCTTTTAGTTACTCCGTCCAATAAAGCAATCCAACCAGTGGCAAGACTCCAAGGTGGGACACCGTTCCAGGCTAGCCAGGCACGCCCTTCCGTTTCCGTCTGCTGGGCCTGTAAAACTAGAGCAGGCACGTTGCTCACTTAGTCCAGAGGTCCTGCAACAGGCCGCCAGACCGAACGCCTGGACCACGGGGCGTGACCCATGGATCCGGACGGAGGGGAAGGGTCTGAAGCTGCTAACCCCAAAATGCCGAGTCACGTGGTTCCGTGGGTGAGTCCTGGGCATCATCACCCAGGGAGGTGCTTCAATGTCTGGCTACCCTTCCACCGCACAGCGCACCCAATGGCACGACCCACGAGCCTACTCCAAGGTCGCTGTGAGCACCCCTCCCTGGTTGGAGGGGCTGGAGGCCCATGGACTTCCACCGCTGGGAAAGGGCTTGCCTGGCGGTGACGGCCTGACACTCCGCCTGCATGCGTAGAAAAGCCGCTGAACTAGCCAGCAAAGCACCTCGGCACGCCGGGCCTTGGTCTCCTCACGTCACATGCCGGAAGCGCTGGGATAGCCGGTTCCCCGGTGCCCTCCAGGTCTATGCCTTTCACGACCTGTGAGCACTGAGGCAGCGATGGAGGAGTCGGCGGCAGTAGTAACTCAAAGTTGTAAAAAATGCTCTTGTGGGGGTATGTATGTGTGCTTCTTTGAGAGTAAATGAACTCTCAGCTGGTCAGTTCCTAGAACTGTTGGTCTCAGGACCATACGTTAGTCCAAATGTACGGTTGCCCTGCTCTATGGGAAGGACGCCACCCGAGAGCAGGAACGTATAGGAACCAATACACCTGATAGAGACCGGTTGCAGACAGAAGCAGCTATTGGGGGCAGATCTACTAATATGTGACCTTTCAACTTAATCCTCTTTTAAAAGAAAGGTTTTATTTATTTTTAGGGGAAGGGAGGGAGAAAGAGGGAGAGAAATATTAATGTGCAAGAAATATATAGATGGGTTGCCTCTGGCATGCCCCCAGCTGGGGACCTGGCCCACAACCCAGGCATGTGCTCTGACTGGGAATCAAACCGGTGACCTGTTGGTTCACAGGCCAGCATTCAAACCACTGAGCCACACCAGCCAGGGCTCAAGTCAATCCTCTTATACTAGGCCTAATATAAGACACGTTTAAAGGGTGTGCGTATATGAGGGTGACGTTTTAGAAGACACAAATTCGGTCTAAATCTAACTAAAAAGGAACGAAGCTTGGCCGGGCAGGTTCATTTATACCCATCCCTCAGCCCTGAGGCAGAGATGGCCGTGTACATACCAGGGGACGCTGGAGCAGCTGCTTCAGAGGGTCTCCCAGCCCGCCGACCCTGCGCCCAGAAATAGCTGAGGCGGACCGAGTCGTCACTGCCCCTGGTTTCACACACCGAAACCGCGGTCTCGGATGCACTGTGCTCTTCCCCGCTCTGCTCTCTGGTTGGGGTCCCCTGAGCTGGGACTCTGAACTGGGATTTCATTTTAGGAGTGAGCACTCCTGCCCAGAAAATGTTCGAGACTCTGCCCTTACCCCATGGCTCTGGTTACCCATTGCATGAACCCAGCGGCACTTCCACATCGGGGCGGAATGGGGACAGTGGACTTCCGCGGGAGGACAGGAAGACTCAGAGCGAAGGAGTCAAAGAGAGGGTGCCCTTGGGGAAGGGTGTGCCTTCAGGGGCCTCAGGCAGTCACCCTGAGAGAGTCAGAAGCCTCAAGGAGCCATCCTGTAGAGGCCCTCTCCCCTGCTCTGGGGGTTGGGCCCTTTGCGGGTCCTGCCGGTAAGCCGCAGCCAGAACCCCGCAGAACCCTGCTCTCCCCAGCGCGCATGCGTTTCCATGGGAACAGCTCGGCAGCCCCGCACCGAGCGGGCTGCTGGTGTGCTCCATCTATTTCTATGGCACCGATCACCATGGCACCTACCTGCTCCGAAAAGCACGGGAAAGCAGAGCACAAAGGAGAGGGGGCAACCCACCGCCCGCCAGCCCCTCACCCCCCACGTCAGCTCTCCTGCAGGTGGCGCTGTACCTCTGCCCGCCGCTCGCTCGCATGGACTCTATCCACTCCCAGTTTCTGTGTTTTTGTTGTAAGTGTCCTTAACAAAGTAAAAGGTTTACTATCAGCCTCAGCATCACCTAGGGGTGATGTGCCCCAGGCTGCAGGACCGAGCCCACACAGGAAGTGGCTCCTCCCAGGGTTGGTTCAGGGCCTCTTACATGGCACTTGGGGGAGGGGGACACTGGGGATTTGAGGAGGGGGTCACCGATATGCACGGATGACCCCAGAAAGGACCAACAAAGGGATCACGAGGGCCCCTGGGAGCATCTGGGACCTTCTCTCCAGGGTGGGATCCACAAGCCAAAGAGCCCCCCACGAAGAGTTTCCTTAACTGACAGTGATCGCCCTGCCAGTGTCTGGGGTCAGACAGAACTTGAGTTCGAATCCGGACTCAGCCACTTGACATCCAGGTGGGATCAGCGGTCACCCTCTTGGAAGTCAGAGGTACTCATCTGTAAGGTGGGGATGAGGATACACACCCCACAGGGACAAGCCACAGGCTGCGACCTCGGCTTTCATGGCGTCCCTTGCTTTCCCCGTCTGTAAAACGGGGAGATAGTCACACCTGCCTCGAGGGAGCTTTGTGCTGGTTCTAGGGGACCACGTATGTGAAGCGCTGAGCAGAGCGCTCAGGCTGCCGGAGGGGAGGGTGCGAAGAGGAGGAGGCAGTGACCATGGCCTGGACAGCGATGCCCAGCCTCCCCGCTTCTCCTGTCCTGATGCCCTGCCCCCCCCATCCCGGTGGGGCAGGTACCTGAGGTACCCCCTGTCCCCAGCTTCCTACACTCATCAAGTCCTTGGCTGCAAGACACGTAACCAAGGACAAGCTCATGCTCCGAAGCACGTGTCACCGTGCACAGGGGCATCAGCCCGGGGACGTGCTGTGACGCACTGGACTGTGGAATTCTTACAAACTGGACAAAACTGCAACACGGTTGCCTGCCTCTGCATTTGGGAATCAAGCAGGCCTGGGGGCTCCAGTCTGGCTTCTCCCAGCTCTGAGCTGCCTGACTCTGGACAAGTCACGTGAGTTCCCCTTCTTCCTCCACCTGGGAAACAGGGTGACACTCTCGTCCTCGGGGAGGTCGGAGCAGCGGAAAAGAAACTGCGGGGGAAGCACGCAGTAGGTACTCGGCAAATGCGGACTCCCTTCTATTTTCACCCCCCGGAGTGTTTTAAGGCAGAGTAAATGTTTAATGACTAAAGGATTAGCCTTCATAATAGAAGGAAATGGGCCCCTTTCCTGAATTTGCTAGCGCTGCTGCTAAATGCTCCGGTGAAACTGCAGGCCCCTCTAGCGCCTGCCCACCCCGCCCCCGGTGCCCCCATTGCCCTCTCAGATGCCGTTTCTCAAGGCAGCGCCCCGGCAGGAACGCTGCGCTGGGCCCAGGGCCGGGGGTGGGGTGGGGGGGGCGGGGACACTGCGGCCCACTCTCACGCACAGCTTGCTCGTTCCTTCTCAAGGCACCAAATCCACTTCCCTGTGTGGTGAGCGCTGTGCCGTCTCCCTGCCCAATCGCACCCCCCAAGAGCGCCCCGTTTCCTTTAGGGGATCCACATGCTTCCGAAACCTGGACTCTGCCCCAAGGTTCCGGTCGTGGAACCTGTGGCCTAACCCCACGCTTGGCCAGCCCCGAGCAGGCGGGGGTCGGTTCACGTGGCCCAGGTTGCTTCAGTCAGAATGCCTGGCAACGCTTTCGGAGGAGGGGGACAGAGGTCCGCAGGGCTACAGACGGAGGACCGGACTGCCCGGACCATCTGACCATCACGAGCGCACGGCCCCGAGGGCACCCGCGGAAAGAAGGCACCGGAGCCTGGACAGCCTGGTGAATACCGAGACCGAACTGCCTCTCAGACGGGCCCCGCTTTGGAGTTTTAGTTCCTGAGTCAGTACACTGCGTCAGTGTTCAGACCAACTGGCGCCGGGTTTTCCGTAACATTAGGACAAAGGAAAAGCACCTGGAACTCTTCCTTCTCTCTAGTCTCAGAGGCCTCGCCCGCCGTGCTGAGAGCTTTACTCCCGAGTCAGGCCTTGAAGCAAGTCTGCCCAACGCTATTCCTTCCCCGACCCCTGCCACCAGGCGCTGTTAGGGACAGACAACGACCTCAACCCTAACAGTCAGACCCCCTGAGATCGGCGCTGTCTCCGTGTTTCCCGTGAGTACACTGAGAACCCCAAAGAGGGGAAGTCATTCTCTCCAGAACTACACATGTCCGGTCCGGGCTAGCAATGAGGACCCTGGTGGGTGATATGTCGGCTCTAGGTACGTTTTGATTTCTTTTTCCAAAGAGTAAAGTCTTTCAATTCCCCAGTTGGATTACACTTTTTTCTGGGGCCCAACGCTCTTTTTTCTCCCTATTTTGACCATCCATTGTAGTTACTTAAAAAGGGTCTGTTACCTCGCGGTCAGCCGAGTCTCCTGCAGCCAGCAGCGCCCCAGCCCGGGGCCCGACAGTGCCCAGAGGCCTGCTGAGTGCTTTAAAAGGTACCGGGCACTGGGCGAAGTAAGGTAAGTGCGTGACATGTATGATCTCATTTTTAAAAAATGGCTCATTGTATTCACGTTATTCTCGGATGCAAGGGCAGATGGCCTTTCCCCAGCACTGTGAGTGGGACCCGTTTGGACTGGGCTTGGAGGGACTCATGAGGAACAGAGAGACAGGGCAGTGGCCCCTTCCGTGGCCGGTGGCACGTGGCTGCCTGGGAAGGGCAAGGACTCTGGGTTTGACTGCGGGCTCTGGGTGGTCTTATTATCTGGGGGGCCTCGCCCATGTCACTCGTGTGTGTGTGTGTGTGTGTGTGTGTGCCCCCGTTTTCTCGTTCGTCGGGCGAAGACAGAATCCCCACACCGCTCCGGGAGATTCGGCCCCATCGGGGAAGCACCCGGGACCACGCAAGGCACAGAGTTGTGTTTTCCTCCCACTACATTTCCTCTTCACTGGGCACCACCTCGTAGCTGGTGCTCACCGGCCCCTTCTCCGTGGGTGACGGCCAGCCTTACCCAGCAGCCAAAGAGATACATGGAAGCTTGAGAAAACACAGGCCGCCAGGTGGGGGGAAGTTTCCATGCCATTCCTTGCCAAACATGGCTCTGCTGCGGGGAAGCAGAGTGAGCCAAGGAGTGAGTGTGTGTGGCCCAGGCTGCTCTGTTTCGTTCCAGAGTCACCGTGTTTAGATTCTAAGGCCCTTCCCTTCGGTCTCTGCCTACCACGCCGTGAACAGTTCCAGACCAGACGGCCTGAGCACCAGGCCAGGCGAATTAAGAAAGGAAAGGGGCGTGCCCGCATTTCCCGCTGAGGTGTGAGGTTGTCCCTCCGCACAGCCAGGCCTCCCTGGGGTTTTAGTGTGCACAGGCGGCCAGCATGCACTTGCCCGGGGCTCTTTGTCTGTACGGGGGCTGGGGTGGGGGGGTGGAGTCACCCCTCTGTGGGCGAATCTGACTGAGCTGCGCTTTTCTGGGCTCAGGTGGGGAAGCCTGAGGGATTATGAGAGATTTTCCATTCTATCACCTCTCCTAATCTCCTCTTTCCTCAAAGAAGACGGGCAGGCCCAGCGTTTTGTTCCACCCCAGAATGGGGCTACTGGCGTTGAATAGTTACAGGCTTCCGTGGTTTGGTTTCCGTGTATGGCAGGCAGTGGTCTCAAAGCACAGATCCCCAGGACCCCTGCCCCAGAATCCTCACTAAAGACACAGACTGGCGGCTTCGCACAGTTCCCACGGAATTAGACTCTACCCGGGATCGAGAGCCTTGGGTGGCAGCTAAGAATACGGGGGTCGAGTCAGATAAATACGGAAGGACCGCAAGCCCCAGCTCCGCTCTCTGCTCCCTGGGGGCCTCGGGCAGGGCACCGAACCTCCGCGGGTCTCAGTTTTATCACGTGCGGACAGGGAATGCCAAACAGTCCAGGAATGCGGAGCTCGTGGTTGCTATAAGGATGAAGTGAAATAGTGCGTGTTTAGCAATCCTTGGCACGTGGTAGACGTTCGGTGTACAATCACTCTTCTTTTTATACAATACTGGTGCTCAAACAGTCCTGGGACCCTATGACAAATAGTAAACTCAGCCATCCACAGCCAGTGTTAGGAGCCCTGCCACAGTCCTTTCCGCTGTACAGGTTTGACAAACCTGCAAGACCAGCAACCGGACCTGCGCGTACCAGGAACCACACTGACTCCACTGGGTCCGATCTTCCACCCCCTCCGGCCAGGAGAGGGCAGCAGGGGACAGCGGAGTCCAACCCTGTAGCCCTGCAGGTCTCAGCGCCCAGGTGTCAGGGGCACCTGCACTCACTCTGGCGGGCCCAGGGGTGGCAGCATGGGGTACCGGGGGTGGGGGTGGCTGTCTCTCTGACGCTCGCTTCATCTGACTCACCGGTTACTTGCTTTAGGAAACCACACCAGCATAGCTGTATTGCAGGAAACAACAAAACTTTGCTGAGATGTAGACATTGGGGAGAATAGACTAGGCCAGGGGTTGGCGAACTGTTTCTGCACAGCCTTTGAGCTAAGGATGTTTTCTACATTTTAAATGGGAGTCCGTGGAAAGGAAGGTCTCTCTCTGGAAGGCGCGGAAAATAATGTCCAGCAAAGCAGGGTGGAAACCCAGAACAGAGAGCCTTGGAGGCAGAAGCGTAAGGGTCGGGGTTACACCAGCACCCACACTCCAGAGGGGTGGCGTCAGATCAGGGAGGAGAGCAGCCACGGGAGCAGCCAAGTTGTGGGTTCGATTCCCAGTCAGGGCACATACTTAGGTTGTGGGTTCGATCCCTGGTCAGGGCGCATTCAGGAGGCAACCGGTTGATATTTCTCTCTCACAACGATGTTTCTCTCCCCACCTCCCTAAAATCAATAAACATATCCCCAGGTGAGCATATTAAAAAAAAGAAGGGTTGAGAAAAGAGGGGCAGTCAGGAGGAGATGCTGATGGCCATGGGACCAGAAACTATCTAGGGACATCGGCAAGGGTTTCTAGGCAGCCCTGGGGACCCAGGACTGTGACGGGCCAGACAGACAGGGCGGGCCAGCAGTCAGCACCCCAGGAAGGAGCAGGGCAGGAACGCCCCAGATGTGGGGTTCAGCTGGGTGGTTCACACAGAAGGATAAGCAGGCAAGAGGGATTAGAGTGACATGCAGGATGGAGAGGAAAACCAACCACCACAGTCACATGAAGTAGCTCCTGGTTTGACAGTAGAAGCCCAGGTGTTTCGCAGAGGGGTCAAGGTCACTTCTGTATATAGACTAGGTTCCCTCTGCAACAAGGAAAGTGGCTGGAGGCAGGTTGAATAATATTGGAAGGAGTGAGTGAGTGATAAAATAAATGGGTTAGAACAAACAAAGCAGAAACAGACTCACAGATGCAGAGAACAACAGACTGATGGTTGCCAGAGGAAAGGGGCGTTGGAGGGGCTGGGTGAGGAGGCGAAGAGATGCAGAGGTACCCACTGGTAGTTACAAAACAGTTACACGGATGTGAACACAGCCCAGGGAAAACAGTCAGTAATATTGTAATAACTGTGTGCGGTGCCAGGTGGGTACTTGAACTACCAGGGGGAGCACTTTGTAAAGTATGAAGTCTAACCATTCTGCTGTGCACCTGAAACTAATACAGTGTAACACTGAGTGTCAACTGTGACTGAAAAATAAAAATTTAAAAATGAATAGGTTTAACGGAATGGAGGAATGAAAGTTCTCTTTTGTTAGGGAGTCAGAAACCTTATGTTGTACAATCCCACCCACCAGGGGTGGGCAGTCTCTGACCAGTGGGATCCTCAGGCGCCCCTCTGCCAGGGTCCATAGTGACCACAGCTGCCCATCCCTCACCCCGTCTGGCCCCAGCTTGCCCACAGAGCCCTGGTGTCAAGGCTGCTCTGCATGACGTCCTGTTTCCAGAGGACGAAATGAAGTAAAGGGTGGCTATTAAACCTGTCCCGGGCCACAGAGGGGCCAGACCACATCTATTGTGTTAACTTCTATCAGGTAACCACCAAGGATGGAAACAGCCCAGGCGGCCATCAGCAGGTGACTGGATAAGCAGACGGAAGGAAGCTGGGCTCCTGAGAGACCCTGTGGGGCAGAGTTGTTCACCTGTCCGGACCACCTACCTCTTAGCTGTTAGGTGAAAGAGAAACACGCTTCTATCCATTTTGAGCAAATGTGTTTTGGGGTCTTTTTGTTACCACCTAGCTCATACCCTACCCGATACTGAGTGTTTCCCAAAGGTGTAGGAGACCGTTCTGTGTGGCGTGGGCCCAGCTCCCACTCGGAGGTGCACAGGACCCACGCCCACGGATAGGTTCTCCCGTGGGGAATCAGGCCTGCAATGTGCCTAGGCCGCTTTGAGTCTTGCTCTTGCTAAAAAACTCCCTCACCCTGAACTGAGGACATTTACTGCAAAGTAACTTCCTAAAATGCATGCTAAACCTTCCAAGAATGAGCGTAACCGGTTCAACCACTTTTGCCTTTTCATTTGCAAATATCCCTCTTCTATGATGTGATTAGCAGCATCCTCTCCTTTGTTTTCCGTAAAAGGTAACCACCTAAAGCGAACCTGTGCATAGTAAATGAGGACCATCATGTAATGGGCAGAGAAACCCAATAAAGGCTGGTCACAGCAAGGGCCAAGGCTTTTGCTTCCCTTGAGAGAAAAGCCATGCCGTCCCTTTTCCTCCACCGGACTCGGTAGTCCGTGTGAATGTCTCATCTCATCCATAATGACTCGGACACTGCGGGCCGGTGTCTGCATCACAAAGGTACAGAGATAATCATTGCCATATGGACAGTGATATTTATTGAAAACTTGCTCTGTGCCAGGCATTGTTCTCAACACTTAACAGGTATTATCTCATTTAATCCACACAATGCTCTCTAGGTGAGGGCTGCTATCCCCATTTTACAGAGAAGGGGGCCCAGGGAGGTTCCATACTTTTCCTAAAGACTCATAGCTATTGAGTGGCCTAACCATCAGACAAGAATTCTGGCAGAAATCATACCAGTAGTCACTCTGTTTATTGAAGCATCGCTTTACAATTCTGTGCAGTCAAAAGGCCACGACTTAGTTTTCCAGAGACCTGTGCCCCGATACTTGTCTTCAGAGTCACTACATGACCTAGGCAAGTCATTTGTCATCTCTACTGATTGGTTTCCCCTTAGTGAGCCCCGCAAGGGGGCCCCCATGACTGACCTCACGGAACCGCTGAGCTGATGAAATGAACTCGGATGTTTAAGCAAAGCTTTGAAAGCTGTAAGTGTGGTATACGTTAAGTATTGCTTTAGGAGGGCTGGGAAATCCTTAAAACCAGAAATAACCAAATGCATTCCATGTTTTTACAATGCAAATACCATCTAGCAATTTGTCAGGTCGCCTGGAAAGGCTGCCAAAACCGGTCAAGGAGAAGGGTACATCTGGTTTCGTGCACCTGTCACCCTCAGCTGAGAAAGGGAGAGGTGAACTGAAATCCAGTGAAAGAGAGCCTACCTGTGTTTGTGGTGCGCATGGGCACGCACCCACGCACACAGACACGCACACACACACAGGCTCTAGAGAAGCATTACTATCAACAGGAGGAGGAGCGGCGATCTTCAAGACCTGTGGGAGCCAGGCAGGCACCGAGGTGGGGAGTGGGACGGGAAGACAAACCACTGGGGTGTGAGTGGGGACCTTGGGGAGCAGGAGCCCCAGCTTCAGCTGCCCTGCTGTGCCGGGAGCCTGGTGCGGACACGCCTTTCAGAGCCACATGTGAAATCTCCCCATTTTCCAAGCATGCTGAAATCCACCAATAAAACAGGTCGAGGGCCACCAGTGGATGCCCTGGGATCTAACCCTGTCGCCAGAGGTCACACTGAACTCTTTAAGGGGCTTCATCAGGATTACGTCCAAGCTGCAGCGCCGCTTTCTCTCAGCCCCTCCCACCCTGCCCCCTCCCTCTTCCTGCTTGCTCCCCTTAACTCTCCCCCTCCGGAGAGGCCAGCTTTCTCTTTGCTTGGTGCTCTCGGACCCCACTTCCCCTTCCTTCTAGCTTGCACCCAGTTATCTTGAAGACACAAGCGAGCTTCCCTCCTCTGCCTGCCCACCAACGCCAGCGATCTCCGCTCTGCCAACGTAACCTCAGCCTGCCCCCCGCCCCCACCACACGGTAACCTTTGCGTGTGCTCTCATGAAGTCACGTGGACCACAGTTAGCGCTCATTGTCTGGGATGAAGGGGGTCAGGGAGGCGCAGATAATGCGGGAGAGGAGACACCCAGAAGTCACGTGGTTGTGCCTCCAGAGTTTGGTGGTGCACGGGTCGGGAGCACGCCGCTGCCGTCACTCGCGCCCCGTCGGTCCTGGTCCCCCCAGCGCAGACTGGGACAAGCAGCCCTGTCAGTCTGGACCAGGCCTTGAAGAAAAGTGACAGAGGTCGGCCCCCAGGTGGAGGCGAAGGCCTGGCGGCTGCCCTGCCTCCACCTCTCCCCCAAGGTCCCTGCCTGTGTCCTCTGGGAGCCCAGGAAACGTGGACGGGCTGGCCAATCACCCCTGTGACTGTGGCAGCATGGACTCCCTTCCCCCCACCGCCACCTCCTAGTTTGGTTATTAGCTTCATCATCTCATCCCCAGCAAGCTCCTGTCCCAAAGGTTGACAGATACCTGACAGGTTTCAGTTTCACTTTCTTGGCCTTCACATGACCTTGGGGGTTCTCAGGGGCAATCACGTGGACCTCAAGGCCCACGCAGGAGGGAGGACCAAGAGGAGAAACTCTACCCACAACTGAGGTGTTGCCCATCATCACTACTACCTGTAGTGAGCTGAGCCCTGACTTTTTCCAAGGGGAGAAACAGAGATCCCCGCTTATTGGAAAACGTCAGGAAATTTCCTGCTTGCTCATTGGCTGAGCCCCACCAGGGGGGTGGGCTCTTAGCCCGCATTTGGTTCCTCAGGTGGGAGGGGTGTGGGGATGTGGCCCGGTGGGAGCTGGAAGGGCAGGTCTGTGCTGTGTCCCTGCCCTCCTGACTTACTGTGTTTGGGACGTCTGGACCAGGGCTACAAACAGTTCCTCTCTTTGTTTCCACAGCTTTGCAGAATGTGCTTCCCTCAAAAAGGCATAAAGATCCTCTTTCTTCAGCTTGCCTGCACCCCTGGGGGTTGCTCTGCAGAGCTCGGGGTTGCAAGCCCAGGCCAGTCCCAGCACCCACTGTGGCTGTTGCAGCCTGCAGTCACGTGGCCAGTACGGTGGTGGATGACTGGATAACTGCAGGCAGCCTCCTTGGCAGGCAGCCAGCCCCAGTTCTTAAAGCCGCAGAGCCTCTGATGGCTGGGCAGACCCTGCAAGCTTGTGCCCCATCCTCCCTGCCAGAGTTAGCCTGCCCTAACGGGTCGGCAAAATGCCAGGGCTTGGCTGATATCACTCCGGGAACTTGGAAAGATCCCGACACCAGGGGTACAGCCCCAGAATTTCTGATGTAATTGATCTGGCATGCAGCCTGAGTTCCTCTCCAGGCCTTAGTTTCCTCGTCTTCACCTGGTCAGTTGTCGTGAGGACTAACGGAGATGACGGGCGTGAAGCCTTCAAGCAGCACCTGCACTCAGGACACTTAGGATTTCAGCTGGACGCCTCCTTCAGGGGGAAGACAGGGTCTGCTTTCCCCTGCTCTGTCCTCTCTTGCCTCACAGCTGTCGGGACCCCTCTTCTGGCCTGGGGGAAGCCCAGACGCCACAGGAAGTCATTCACCAGGTGCACCCTGCCCGAGCCTGGGGCTTTACCTTAGCCTCTTCTGAATCTTGTCACCCCCACCTGAAAGCACAAGTCACACACCTGAGCCCACCGTAGGTCCTCTTTGTCAGCTCTAGCCCCTTGCAGGTCCCTGCCTAGGCCTGGCTCACTTCTTCTGCCTTCTGCCCCCAACTGGCTAACTTCTTCCTTCCCATATGACTCAGCACAGGTGTGGCTCCCAAGTACAGGTGAGATGTCCCCTGTGGGTTCCCACAGCACCCCAGGCTCTTCCTCCTCAAGCCCTCTCCCCTAAGCACTGTGTGTGTAGATTCACTTCTCTCGGCCTCTTGTGGCTGGAAGCTCAGGGTGGGCAGGGACTATGTTGCTTGCCACCGCATGTTTAATAATATTGGAAGGAGTGAGTGAGTGATAAAATAAATGGGTTAGAACAAACAAAGCAGAAACAGACTCACAGATGCAGAGAACAACAGACCGATGGTTGTCAGAGGGGAGGGGCGTTGGAGGGGCTGGGTGAGGAGGCGAAGAGATGCAGAGGTACCCACTGGTAGTTACAGAACAGTTACAGGGATGTGAACACAGCCCAGGGAAAACAGTCAGTAATATTGTAATAACTGTGTGCGGTGCCAGGTGGGTACTTGAACTACCGGGGGGAGCACTTTGTAAAGTATGAAGTCTAACCATTCTGCTGTGCACCTGAAACTAATACAGTGTAACACTGAGTGTCAACTGTGACTGAAAAATAAAAATTTAAAAATGAATAGGTTTAATGGAATGGAGGAATGAAAGTTCTCTTTTGTTAGGGAGTCAGAAACCTTATGTTGTACAATCCCACCCACCAGGGGTGGGCAGTGCCCATAGTGACCACAGCTGCCCATCCCTCACCCTGTCTGGCCCCAGCTTGCCCACAGAGCCCTGGTGTCAAGGCTGCTCTGCGTGACGTCCTGTTTCCAGAGGACGAAATGAAGTAAAGGGTGGCTGTTAAACCTGTCCCGGGCCCCAGAGGGGCCAGACCGCATCTATCATGTTAACTTCTATCAGGTAACCACCAAGGATGGAAACAACCTAGGTGGCCGTCATCAGGTGGCTGGATAAACAGACCATATACACACACAACAGAATATTATTCATCCATGAAAGGGATGAAATTCTGATGCAGGCTACGATATGGATGTTCCTTAAAGACATTGTGCTGCATGAAATCAGCTAAACACGAAAGGACAAATGTTGTCTGGTTCCAGTTATATAAGACGGCTGGGATGGGCACGTTCATAGAGACAGAAAGTAGAGGAGAGGTGCCAGGAGCTGGAGGAGACGAGAAGAGGGGATTACTGTTTGATGTACACAAACTGATGTTCGGGATAATAAAAAAGCTCTGTAAGTGGACAGTGGTGAAGGTTGTATCACATTATGAATGTATTTAATGCCACTGAATCATACACTTAAAAATGATTAAATGGTTAATTTTCATGTTATGCATATTTTACCATGGGGAGGAAAAAAAAAAAACCTTCATTAGCGCCCTGGCTGGTGTGGCTCAGTGGATTGAGTGCTGGCCTGAGAACCAAAGAGTTGCCAGTTCGATTCCCAGTCAGGGCACATGCCGGGGTTGTGGGCCAGGTCTCCAGTAGGGGGCGCATGAGAAGCAACCACACACTGACGTTTCTCTCCCTCTTTTTCTCCCTCCCTTCCCCTCTCCCTAAAAATAAACAAATAAAATCTTAAAAGAAAAACAACTTTATTAGGAATCCGACTGGTGGCCACATTCTGACCTGCACCCTCAGGGAACGGCTGTTTATAAAGAAGCAGAGCCCCAGGGCGTGAGACAGGCCTGGCCTTTCCTGTCCAGGTTTCCTGAGGCCTAACTCGAAATGAAGGTTAAACAGTGCGGATGGCCAGAGGTAGCAGGAATGCCAAGCATGTGCAGCTGGTTTCTTCAGTGGGTGAGGTCCAAGCAAATTGCTAAGGGAGGCATATTACAATGTTCAGAAAGCATCAGAGCATGTTTCAGGAAAGAAGAAATTGCTTGTGTCAAAGGAATTTAGAATTATAATCAGGCTATTGTTTGCAATTGCTTAGCTAAAAGGAGGCCTCCTTAAAAATACAACATTAAAAATGAAACCCAGGTAACTATTGTATGCCAGGTAATTATAGCTGTTGAAGAGTTCAGAGAAGGAAAGGCATTTGAAGGAACTCAGTGGGTGATAGAAATAAGAATTCAAAGAGGTGCCTCAACCTGAATCAGATGAGAAATGTTCAGATTTGGTCGCCTCCGACAGCAGCGGGGCTGGGGGATTCGTCCTCAAAAGCTGATTCGGTGTGGGTTGAAACCAGTTTTCCTGGAACTGTTAACGAGACATCCAAGTCTGTGTCTGGTTTCAGCTCCACTGGGCTGGGGCATCCCGGCCCCGCCTGCAACCTCAAGGAGGAACCGCCAGCCAGCGGCAGCCAGCCATCAGTCAGCGCCCTTCAGCATCTCTTTGCTCATGGTGACATCATCCCAGGCAGGTTTAAGGCAGGGCAGGAAAAAATGCAAGTTCCTGCCTGCTGGGTCCACGGAGGTGGCCGGGAAAGACTCGGATTGCGGTGTCCAGTGGTCTCCAGGCCGGGTCTCCCGTTGGGCCTCCCCTTCGCAGGGTCGTATCTCTTCGTCTTTCTGCCAAGAGCATTTGCCCCTCTGGTCTCCTTTCCAGGTGACCTCTCTAAGGGACAAGAGGGAGGGGGAATCGTTGAATATCACAGTCTGGACCTTGCCTCCGGGGGATGAGACCCCCAGGGTCTCGGGGAGCCAAGGCCTGGAGACAGGCAGGCCCCCGAGCCCCTCCACACCCAGGCGGGCACGTAGGGACAGGCTTCGCCGCTTCCCCGACGTGCAGATCTCAGATCAGGCTTCACTTCCAAATCAAGTCACAGAATTATTAGATCGTCTGGCTCTCCCACGAGACTGCGAGCCACTCGGCACTAGGACACACGCCTGCTTTGTTGGCAGCTGCGTCTCCTGTGCCTCACAAGGTGAGCAGCATGTAGTAGGTGCTCAGTTAAGTACTTGTTGACAGAATGAATCAGTGAGAGAGCCAGAGGAGACGAAACGGGTGTTCTGAAATATTTCCTTTGGGTCCTAAAAATCAAATTTGCTCCCATACTTTATTTTATTTTATTTTATTTTATTTTATTTTATTTTATTTTATTATTTTATTATTTTATTTTATTCCCAAGTGATACTAATACTAGCTACCATTTCCAGCCATGCTAGTAATCATAGTAACCGTTTACTGAGTGTTTCCTGTATGCCATGTTCATGGCTTACTTGACCTAGGGGTTCGTTCCATTTGGCCCTGACAGCTGTGCTCTGGAGCAGGTGGGACTGTCCCCATAGCAGAGATGAGACAGACGAAGCCCACGGAGTTGGTTCCGGGTCCTTCCCGGGGCCATACAGACCCCAGGGGGCAGAGCAGGGATCTGATCACCAACGGGTCCATCATGTTCATGACCGCATCTCACCGTCATGCAAACTCTGTGCACTGAGGCTCAGAGAGGTCGAGCCACCTGCCTGCGGTTCCACAGCTAGGAAGCCACTGTCAGTCCTCAAATCAGGCTCTGATTGCAAAAGACTTCCTTCCACAAGAATGTCTTCAGAGCTCAGGAGAAAATGTCGTCTTAAAAAATGACTAGAGGAGTCCATGGAGTGAGGAGGCCACCAGGGTGAATTGGAACCAGAGATTTGGATTCAGTCGAACGGAAGATTAGAAGTCCCCGTAGAAGTGGCTGCCCACCTCCCCCCTCCACCCCCGCCACCCCACTCCAGTTCGGTGCCCATTGCACCTTCCTGCCTGCCCCTGTCTCAGGAAACTACCTTTCCTCCAAATGCTCGCAGCCTGGGGCCACCCCCTTGGACCGAATCCTTTATCTAGGACCGACGCCTGGGCAGGGGAGGGTTTCCTGTGACCTCATGAATGCCCCTGCCTTCACAGGGCCAGGCAGGCACTCAGCCAGCCTCCCTCTCTGCAGTGCCACGGCTCTGCGCCGTCGGGAGTTCCTGAAAGGCTAGGCAACCTTGACCCCTGTCTTAGGAACAGAGCAGCCCGTCCACCCACTCTGCGGCAGGGCAGAGGGAAATCGGGGCCCCTTGGAGTGCAGCCCGCCCAATGGAGACTCGGTGAGTGCACAGCCTAGCTTCAGCACAAGGCCCCAGTGGCTTTCAGAGTTTTCAAAAACAACGCCATTGTCACGGTAGCACTTCCTGTGTTACACAAATCAACCATATTAAAAACAGAAAGAGGCAAAAGGCCGGCATTCATTGCAACTGCTCAGCTGTTTGGAAGCGTTGGCTTCTGGGATGGTGGCGAGGCCAACAAGACCCAGAGGCGGGGGTCTGCCAGCCCTCCTCTGCAAGGCCGTCTGTGCCGGCGCCCGGGCCGGGCCGTTCCATTTCCAGCTGGGCCTGGCACTCCGGTCTCTTCCCCTCGTCCTCCACAGGGCTTCCAGCACTATCGTCCCAGTTGGCACTCTGGTGACATCATCTGTTTGCTCGAGACCTTTCCGTGGCCTTTCCACAGACCGCAGCGGGAAGTCTGAAGACGCAGCCGGGCCTCCTCCAGCGA